AAGTACCACGAGTACTCTAACAGCCATGCCAGCAGCTCTGCTATGACACTGGCCAATTTCTTTAGCACCTTTGGATGAATTTTATTCAGGCCTGCTGATTTGGACACATCCAGCCCCTCCAAATGCCCCTTCATTAAATCTGCGCTAACAGTTGGTGGGCTGGTGTCCCTCCTATGTCTATCTATGATCCAATTGGGAGATGTGTCTTGGTCTGTGTCTAGGAATACAGGTGCAAAGAGTTCACTGAAGAGCTCAGCTTTGTCCCCCCGTCTGTCACCAATTGGCCTAGTTTGCCATGTAAAGGTCTTATTCAACCCAGTGCCTTCCTTCTGCTCCCCATATACCTGAAGAAAGACTTTCTGTTGTCCTTAATTTTTGTTGCCAACCTGAGTTCTAATCCTGATTTGGCCTTTCTAACTGATTCCTTGCAAATGCGAACCAGGGAGGTATACTCCTCCTTTGTAGCTACCCCATGTTTCCCCTGGCTGTATACCTCTTGCTTTGCCCTTAGGTTTTCCTGGACTTACCTGTTCAGCCAAGAGGGCTTCTTGGCCCCTTTTCCCCCTTTTATGCATGATGGGATTGTCTCCTTCACCCATAGGATCACTCCCTTGAGGAACAACCCCCCTTCCTGGACCCCCATTTTGCCAATGCTCTTGAGCTTTAATGCGTCACTAACTAATCTCCTGAGAACATTGAAGTTAGACTTTCTGAAGTCTAGCACTTCAGCCCTGCTGGTTAGTTTACCCACTCTTTGACAGATAGTGAATTCAATCAATCGATGGTCACTATCTCCTAGGTTACGTTGTACCTGCAGATTCCCCACCAGGTCATCCCCTGTAGCTAACACCAAGCCCAGCAAGGCATTTCCCCTAGTGGAATCGTATACTTCCTGTGTTAGGTGGAGGTCCTGTATGCAGGTTAATAACCTATGTGAATGGTTAGATTTGGCTGATTGCTCCTCCCAGCAGATGTCATGGTAGTTTAGGTCACCCATGACAACCATATCTCTTTACTGTACAGCCTCTGAGAGCTATCTGGAGAATTCCAGGTCTAGCTCATCCTCCACAGATGAAGACCATCTCATCTCATGCTGCTTATCCCTTCAGAAGCTAATTCTGAAGGTAATCAGAGAGGGTTACAGTAGTAATCAGAGTGGAATGCAGGAGAAGGGTTTATGTGAAGGCCAGTAATTCTAGAGTCAAAGCTGTTTTGACCAGTCTGACTAGGAAGCTGAGACCTGTTGGTGGGAATCCTGTCTAATGACACCTTTAAAAAGCCTTTTAGCAGTCTTTGAACTATGCACTCTTGCTGGTGTGGGCTACTATCTTTCTTTTTTAATATAAGGTAACTTGTATATTAATCTGTCAGGCCACAGACATCCTTCAATCTAGGTATGCAACTCAGTAATTAGTCCAACAAGAGTTGCACACAGGATTGAGTTATATTTAGAATTGGTAAAAGGAATCATAGAATCATAGTTTCATAGATTTAGGGTCGAAAGGGACCTAGTAGATCTTCTAGCCCGACCCCCCGCCAGGGCAGGAGAACAACAAAACCCCAAAACAAAAACGGGACTCAAATGAGTCCAGCCAGGTAGGCATCCAGCCTCTTCTTAAAGACCCCCAGGGTAGGGGCCAGCACCACTTCCCTTGGAAGTTGGTTCCAGCTCCTAGCCGCCCTAACTGTGAAGTAGTTTTTGCGGATGTCCAATCTATACCTCCTCTCCATCAACTTGTGCCCATTACTCCTTGTTATGCCAGCGGGCGCTAGGGGAAACAGCGTCTCCCCCAAACCCTTCTGGTCCCCCCTAGTGAGTTTATAGACGGTCACCAGGTCCCCCCTCAGCCTTCTCTTGTGGAGGCTGAATAGGTTCAGGTCCCGCAGTCTCTCACTGTAGGGTCTGCCCTGTTGTCCCCGGATCATGCGGGTGGCCCTCCTCTGGACCCTCTCCATGTTGTCCACATCCCTCTTGAAATGGGGCGCACAGAACTGGACACAATACTCCAGCTGTGGCCTGACCAGCGTCGCATAGAGGGGGAGGATCACCTCCTTGGCTCTACTCGAGATGCACCTGTGGATGCACGACAAGATCCGGTTAGCCTTGCCAACCGTGACCTCGCATTGTCGGCCCATGTTCATCTTGGAGTCAATAATGACTCCAAGATCCCTTTCTGTCTCCGTGCTCTCAAGAAGGGAGTTTCCCATCTTATAAGTGTGCTGCTGGTTACTACTGCCCAAGTGCAGCACCCTGCACTTGTCAGTATTGAAACTCATCCTGTTTTAGTTAGCCCACCCCTGTAACCTATCCAGGTCTTGCTGCAGTCTTTCCCTCCCTACTAGCGTGCTCACCTAACCCCAAATTTTGATATCATCAGCAAATTTAAACAGGTTGCTTTTCACCCTGTCGTCCAAATCGCTGATAAGGAAATTGAACAGCGCAGGCCCAAGGACTGAACCCTGGAGGACTCCACTGCCCACTTCCACCCCAGGTCGAATATGACCCGTCCACCACCACCCTCTTAGTACGACCCTTCAGCCAATCTGCAATCCATCCGACTATGTAGGCATCAGTGCAGAGGCTGACGCACAGCTGGGATGGGGTGTGGTATAGGGGGTGCAGCTCCTGCTGTTACAGGCTGCTGCTGTGGGCTGGGGCCCACAATGGAGTCTTCCCGAGGGGGGTGGGGGGGTTGGGCCCTGCTGCACTTTGGGCAGATGGTGGCAGTGCTGGGAAAGGGGTCAGGGGGCTACAACAAATTTTAGGTGGCTGCAGCCCCCTCCCAGCACCAGTGCCACCCACCCTGAGCACAGCCCAGCCTGGCCCCCCACTGGGAAGAACCTAGCATGCTCCCCAGCCCCAGCCCAAAGCAGCAGGTGATAGCAGCAGGAGCTGCACCCCCTGTCCCGTACCCCAGCTGTGTAGCACCCGCCTCTGCCCCAGCCCCAATGCCACTCCCTCCCTCACGACCTGTGGGGAGGCCAGATTGAGGCCCCAGAATCCTTACCTGGGGTCCTGGGAGCCTCCCAGAGCTGCAAAAGCTGTGATTCTGCTGCTTGGAGCCTGGCTGGTAGCTGTAGCGCGACTCTGGCCAGCTCAGCTTCAGTTTTGACTGTTGCATGCTGGCTCTGCATGCGCTGCACTACTTTTTTTTTTTTTTACCCCTGGATATCCAGGGGTCAATAAAACCCTCTGCACTGCTCCACTGCAGCACAGAGAACAATGGCCACCCTTGTCTGGATGTGTGACTAAAAATAGGACAACCACCAATACAATATGCAGTTGCAACATCATTGCTTCAAAGGTAATCTTTTGTAAGGGACAATAGAAGTTCCAGGCTTTACATCATTTGTTAATTATGAATCCTGGGTATTATTTTCCTAGCATCATTAGTAAGTCAGCAGTTGCTCATCATTGTCCACTATGTGCATAATGAGTAACTTTTCAGACTACTTTTGGGTTTTAAGAATAAAGGACTGATTTCAAATTATATGGTTTCCTAATAGTTGTGGCCCCTTCTGGTTTTGAGGAATCAGCTGAGCACTGCCCTGAATCAGAAAGCCTCAGATCTTGGATTCCATACCGTGGTCATTGCTATTACATTGAAACATCAGCTGAAAGAAACTGGACCCAAGCCTCTCTGGAATGTATTAAATTAGGTAAGAGTTTTCTTTTGAGATAAAAGATTTACATACAGGCATAAAACACTCATTAAACAGCTTCAAGAGTTAAAATTTCAATTATTGAAACAGTTATTATTGTTAAATAATATAATTATTTTAAGCTGGATATTTTTCCACTATTTCTAGTGGTTTTTTGCTCTTGCTTTTCACAGTTGAAGCAATGAAACTAGAAAGATATAATTGACTTTAATTTTACATTCAGGCTCATGGTCTGGATTACACACATTAGCAAGTTACTGTGATATTCATGTTTCCAGCATAGACAGTAAATTGATTTATTTTGTACAATACAATTTCAGACTGTAAAATAGTATCTATTCTACTTCATATAGCTTTGATGACTACATTGGCTTAAACATGTAACATCAGTTTCATCCATACATCCCATTGCTCTTTTGTACCCTAGATCCAATAGTTCAGCTGTATACCTTCTAACCTGCTCAATGCTAAAATAAAAAGGTGTAGAGTTTCAAAGATTGCCCTTGCTTTGTTGAGCTGTCACTTGATACAAGCCCAAGTTCTTTTTTTTGCTATTTTTTCTTAGGAGGCATAAGAATGGAGAGCAAAACCAAGCAGGAGCGGAGTAAAGCTCTTCAGAATAAAGTGTTTTTTTGTGGTAGGTTTGAAGGAATGAATCATTTCAATATATGCTCACCCAGGCTATATTAATACTTTCCAGGTGCTACTTTGGCTTCAGTAGAAGATTTGGCTGAGTCTGATTTTCTGACACACAGAATACTGACATCTCAAAAACTACAGGCCAGCTATTGGTTTCAATACTATGAAAATATATATGGTAAGTTTTTTCTTTCAGTGTTTAAACATAATATATATTTACCACTGAGATTATTATTATCTGTTTTATCTAGTAATACTGGTGATCCGATAGGTCTATATGGGCATGCGTACACATTACACTACGTTGCCATAACGATGCTCTATGATGATGTAGCGACTGTGTGGCTCTACATGTGACTAGCAGCTACTTCATTGTAGTGGCATGCTCCACCTTTTTAGCGCACTGCTACAGTGAAGTAGTGCTTAAAACTAACTGGGAGTACTAAAGCACGGAGCAGCAACAACATTGCCATAGGGCAACATGTAGATGTGCCCTATATGTCTCTTACCACTTAATATCAAAGGAGATAGCTTCAGGTGTCCTCTATTGTTTGTTGTTGGACACCTAATACTGTGCCTTTTACAACTGGGCAATTAGTAATGGCAATTGTTTGATGGGTTGATGGGAAAAGTTTTCAAATGTGCAATTATTCAGAAGTCAGGAGAGAAAAATGCAGAAGACATGCAGCTGCATCAATTGACAGGAAAACATGAGAGCTGATGCATTTCCCTCATTAGCTGTACCTATCTTCCCCTGCCTATTTTTGTCTTTTTCCTTTTGTCTTGCTTACCTTGTTATGGATTTTCTTCATCCCAAGCTCTTGGCCTTTCTGTATAGAGTCCAGAATTGGAAATAGTAGTTGAGCAGTTCTGTCTATTTGCATTGCCTTAAATCCTACCCAGGGTCCATACCAGAAGCTATTTCTGGTTCTGGTTGCAAATGTTCTCTTAAAATAAATATATAAAGACTGTAGCAGCTGTATTCATTTGATTCACACTCACAGCCTAAGAAAGCAGCCACACCAGTTGCTATCTTTAGTTCACAAAAGCCTTCAGGCAGAAGATGTAAGAAAGGTTTAAAGAAAAATAAAATAGTATATTTTTGTAGTAGCATAGGCCTAGAAATTTAATTTTTGATGCTCTACTAAAATTTCAGTGTGTAAACCACATTTTCAGCCCTCTTATTTTCCACCCTTCCTTTTTAATATCTCACAAAGCTTTTCAATGATAACTTTTTTATTTACTTGTTGCCCTTACACTTCCCCTTTTTTCTCATAGTTTTTTCCCCCTTGGACTGCATATCTTCACATATTCCTTATACTGTCATCGTTCTTTGAATTTTATTTTTAACATTGCATAATTTTTTCTCCCCAGTCATCCCAGTTGTCTAAATCTTTTTTTCAATTTCCTCTGCTGTTCTGTTCTGTTCTCTTCAACTATGTTTTTCCCAGTCTTTCCCTTTCCTTTCTATCATTCCTCAATTAACGTTCCTGTCTCCATCCTTCCAACTCTATTCTTTTATCTTCCAACCATATCATCCTCTTTGCTTTCTGTCCTGTTGCTGCTCAGATCATAGGCACTCCAGTTTTTAAGCAACTTGCAGGGGTGAACAACACAAAAGGTCAGCAGAAGGGAAGATCAGTAAAAATATGCCAGACTTTCCTCTGTCTCCTTTCTACCTTAGAGAAGCTTGCTCCAGAAACTTCCCTGGTCCTTTACTGGTAGGTAAGTGAAGGGGAATGAGGTTGCTGCAGAGTCACAAGGAGTGATAATTTCCCTACTGGCTGGTATCTAGGGTTGAGCCCTTCAAGGGCAGGACATGTGTGTTGAGCACATGCACAAACTCTGATTGGCTCCTTATTCCTCTTCAAAATAAACTTAATTTTTGTGTTAGGTTTGAAGGAGTGTAATTTTAATGTATGCTGACCCAGGTTATCTTAATACTTTCCAGATGGTTCTTACAGTTTGGTACACAGTTCAAGATGGTTCGATTTCTGGACATATTTACTATGGAGTCACACAAAAATGAAAGGTTTTTGGTTAGGAATATACAGAAATATGGATGGTAATTCTTTTTTTTTTATTTCAGCATTCAATCAAAATAAGTATTCAACAAATATTATTCCCCAGAGGTCATTTTTATCTTTAAATATACATTCTAATGATGGTCTGGTAAGTCTATATATGTTTCTTAGTACCACCTAATATCAAAGGGGATGGTTCTAGGCCTCCCATACTCTGGTGGTGTTCGACCTATTTAGCCCTGCAGGCTGAACGAATGATGAGAGGCATGTCCACAGATCTGATCCAGCATGGGTTCAGCACATAGAGTTGGTTTGCTTTCAGTTTGCCTTTGGAGTGACCATATACACTGGCAACAACCACAGCCTGACCCCACACACCAGCACAATCCAGCCTGTGGACCACCCTACAGGTCTGGAAATTTGATGCTGCTCTGGAAACTGTGGCAAATAATGCTTCCAGTACCCCACCTCCACCAAATTTCCAGGTCTGTGGGAAACCCCATGGGCCAGATAATGTGGTGCTGCAGGCATAGTAGGTGGGTGCAAGCCAGAGTTTGGTTTGCTTTGCCTGCTGCAGCATCTCATTGGTAGCTCATGTTCATCTTGTGAACCCCCAAGTCTCTTTCAGTCATGGTGCTAGTAAGCATAGCACTGCTGACCCTATAAATATGATGCTGGTTTTTCCTCTCAAGGTGGAGTGCCCTGCACTTGTCTGCATGAAATGCAATCAGGTTTTGGTCCACCCACCTTGCGAGCCTGTCCAGGTCAGCCTGTATCCCCAACCTGTTCTCCAATGTGACTGCCTTCCCCCATAGTTTAGTGTCATGTGTGAACTTTGCCAGTTTGCATCTGATGCCTAAATCCAGATCATTTATGAAAATGTTGAAGAGTACTGGCCTGAGTACTGAGCCCTGAGGGACACCACTAGTCACCTCATGCCATGTTGATTTGTTGCCATCAACCAGCACACTTTGGGTCTGACCCCAGAGTCAGTTCCCCAGCCATTGGACCATGAGATGGTCGAGGCCACAGTTTTCCAGCTTAGCTATGAGGACATAATGGGAGACCAAGTCAAAGACCTTCTTGAAATCCAGATATATGACATCAACCTCATCTTCCTTGTCCAGGCAATGTGGCATCTGATCGTAGAAGGAGACGAGGTTTGTCAGGCAAGACCTTCCAACAACAAAGCCATGTTGGCTGGCACTCAGAAAGTTGCCTTCCATTAGCATGCTGCTGATGGAACCCTTGATAATTTCTCCAGGATCTTTCCAGGGATGGATGTCAGACTGATCGGTCTGTAATTCCCTGAGTCTTCCTTCCTTCCTTTCTTGACAATTGGGACTACAATGGCTCATTTCCAATCCTCCACTACCTCTCCTGAGTGCCACAAGTTCTCAAATATCTTTGCCATAGGGCATGCTATGATGTCCACCAGCTCCTTCAGGACTCTCGGGTGCATACCATCCAGGCCTGCGGACTTGTGGATGAGTCTTTTCAGGTGTTCCCTCACTTGATCTACATCAATTGTGGACCCATCTCCTGCCCCCTGGATGCTTTGTGTCCTATCTGACAGGGTGACTGCTTTGCATGGGTAGAAGACTGATGCAAAGTAATCGTTTAGGAGATTTGCCTTTTCCTGAGCATCAGTCATCAGCTGCCCCCTTTGATTTAGCAGGGGTCCAATGTTGCCTTTGTTCTTCCTCTGACTTCCCACATACCTGAAGAAGGACTTTTTGTTGTACTTGATTCCTGTGACTAGCCTGAGTTTGGTGTCTGCCTTGGCTTTTCTGGTCCTCTCTGTACAGGTACAGGCTAGTGCTCTGTAGTCCTCCTTGGTGATGACCAGGAATCCTGGTTTTCTCTGATTAAAAATTGCAAATTCTCTGATTAAAAACCCAAAATCCGTGATAAAAATTAAAGGCCCCCCACAGCCCCCTGCAGCACTGCTGGTGCTCCACACTCCCCGCCACGGTCTCAACAGCCTGCCTGATGCCCCTTGCAACAGCCCCCCAGACCCACAGGCACAGACATGCAGACACAGACACTGACACACACCCCAACAGGTAAGTGTGTGTGGGGGGAAGGGCAGGGCAGAGTGGGGAAAATGGAAGGTGCTGGGGGGGTTGGTCAAGAAGGGGGGGAGTGTGCCCCTATGCCCACTCCCAAGAGCAGGGCCAAGGGGTGAGGGCAGGGTTGCCACTCTGTGGGCCCACACACGTGCTGGCTGGCCTGACAGGGGGTTCTCACATGGAGGATGCCACTGCACCCTGCGCTACTATCCCATGGCCACCTGCATTGCTTTGTGGGCAAGTGGCGCAGAGCACGGCAGCAGCAGTGCAGTGGCAACCACCGTGTGTGGGCCACATATGTGCTGCCCGGACAGAGGGTGGAATGGGAGGCTTGCATGCAGTGGCATGCCCCGCAACTGGCTGCACAGCTCCACAATGGTGCAAGGTGGTGGTGGCTGTAGGAAGGTTGTGGGGGGCAGGCTTTGCGGGCAAGAGCTTTCACTGTGGAGCCATGCCTTTTGGCCCTGGATCCTAGAGGTAAGTGGGGCTTGGGGGCTGTGGGGCAGGGCTGGGGAAGATGGTTGGGGGCTGCTGGCCCCAGGCAGCACACCACAGCTGGGAGCAGGGCCAGGGGGTGAAGGGAGTGGTGCCCCTCTGCGGGATGCAGTGTGGTAGTGCCTGCCATGTGCGGGCTGCACTCATGCCGCCCGGCCACCTGCCCAGGGGAGGGGAAGAGGGAGGCTTGCATGCAACTGGAGCACAGCTCTGCGGCCGGCTCTGCAGCCATGGTGAGGAATGGTGGCTGGTGGGCGGGGGGCTCACACGCAGCGGCAGCTGCCGCTTACCTGGAAGACCACGCCAGCAGTGACAGCCACTGCCTACAAAACCTCCTGCTGCCGCCATGGAGCTGTGCCCGGAGCTGTGCAGCTGGCCGCCAGGCAGCAGTGGCAGTGTGGTGGTGGCCAGCCGGCGTGCAGCCGTCCCCACCATCATCCCGCACCATGCCACTGCCGCTGGCCACACAGCTCCAAGTGTGGCTCTGTGGTGGCAGTGGGAAGTTTTGTAGGTAGCAGCTGTCACTGCTGGCATGGGCAGCCACTGCTGATTACCTATGGGGCCGCCAGTGCCAGCAGTGAAATCCCCGTTTTCTCCAAAAGGAACGTAATCCTCAAAGCACAAAGAAAGTCCATCCAATCCTGAAGGAAGTGCAGTCAGTGGGCTGGGGTGCCCCCTTGGCTCAATAGGGAACTTTTGGACCTCTCTAGACAATCCTCTAAGTCCAGGGTTACTGCACCTTGATGTCTGCATCAAGGTTCAATAACCCTGGACTTAGAGGTGATGTTGGGTCTAAAACCACTGATCATCAAACAGCTATAGCCAGGTATAAATGGACCTGTCTTGGAATGGATTAATTGCTTCCTGTCAGAAAGATGTGTTAAACAGTTCTTCATGAACCCTATTTCCATTCTTAGATGGTGTGCTCCAATATTTCATGTTATCACCATCTTCAGTGTCTGTGGTCTGTCAGAATTTTTCATGAGAAGGCATGTTTTATGATATGTTTGTATTTGGATGACACCCAGATACCTATTGTGAGTGGACAGATTCCTGGGCTTAGGCAAATACTGACAGTAAACAAGTAGCCACAAATCAATTGTACATGGTTTCTATTACAAAGCAAATAAAACATAAGACCCAAGCAGGAATGCAGTAAAAAAAAGTATAATTGTTTTACTATAATATACTTGAATATATTTTCAGATGCTTGTTTTGTTTGCAGTATTTTTTGTTCTTCTTAACTCAATTTCATACCTCTGAATTCGCAAGCCCAACTTTGTGTGTATTACTTCAAATTCTGCATGCCATCTACATTTATTACATTATGTACTCTTGTGTTAATAGAGTTCTTAGGTGTTAGTTAATAGTAAATTAAATTAAATTTTTGCCTAATAGATAGGATTATTTTTCTTGAGCTCTCTCTAATAATACAAACAATGTGCTGATACCTGGAAAGCAGGTATTAGTTCGGAATTGCTGTGTATAGAAGAATGTTTTTCTTATTTTTTTTATACACATTCATTTTGACTTTAGGCCAATGGTTATGGCTAGATAACACTGCAGTGGATTTTGTCAACTGGAATGCAGAACAGCCCAATGAGGGAGGTCACTGTGTTGAGATTTCTGGATTATATGGATTTTGGAATAAACTTGAGTGTTCTTATGAACAAGGATATGTTTGTGAAAAATCAAACAGTAAGTAATATAGTTAATTATATATTAATGTTTATCAGTTATTATTAGTATACTATAAAAATATCTCTGTGTAATATTACAATATATGCAGCTATGGTATGGCAGGGGACTGAGGCTATGTATATAGAAACATGCCACTTCCTGGGGAGCTAAATCCAGCCCTGTGTTGCTACAAAAACTATATCATATGACTTCTTCTTAAATTTACCAACCTTCACCTTAAAATAATTGGGGTTTTATTTGGGGCCTGTTTTTGTCCTCACAACTCCTGTTGGAGACTGCCAGGACCTCACTCCTCTAGTGATTAAAAACCGTGATGATGGTATAATAAGTGATATCATGGTATATTGGAAATCTATTCTCCTAAAGTGCAATGTAAAGAATTCATCCAAATGTCAGACACTATTAAAAAATAACTAGCAGTTTACAGTACTTCTGCTTTTGTATGCACAAATGGAAGCATTTCAAATGTGCTTCTTTGGCAGAAAAGCCCGGGTACCCACACTCTGAGAACTGATTCTGAAATTAAACATCTAAACTCTACAGCCATTTTTGAAAATTTAGTCTGTCATCTTTATCAAAAGATTTTATTAGTGTTGTGGTAACCATTTTATTGCCACCACCTTTTAAATTTAAAACAAATACTGTAACCAATTTAAAAACAGTTTATCTCATTCTTATGCTTCATTTTCCTGATTCTCTGGTATTATATATTAGCAATATGGAACAGCATGTTGTACAACTTATTTGTTTTAATTTTACTTAATTTGGTGACCATACATCCCATTTAAGAAACATTTGTATTTAAAACAGGGCTGTCTAGTAAAAATAGCGTTGTTCCAACCCTCCCCTGTTTTCTGCCTTCCCTGTGTCCACTTCTTTCCCTCTGGCTTCAGTGTGCTCAGTTGAGACCAAAGCTTGCTTTTTTTTTTTTTAGGTTTTATTCATCTCCCTTCAGTTATCTTTTCTCTAAGAGGAAACGTTCTAACTTATTTAGTTTCAGTTTATACAGAAGTCGCTCTGCACTTCTAGTCATGCTTGTTATTTGGGAAGTGCATGATGAAAGATAATTTCCCTACTTAATAGGCACATCTACACATGCATTTGACCCAGGATCTGTTTACTTGTGAGGAAACTACTTATGAGTAAATGCTCCTGGGCAAGTGACACATGCAGGGACAAGAGAGCAGATTTGCTGCTAATGGAAGGATATTGCTTCCATTTCCTTGAGCCCTGCAATGGGCCCCTACCACCACGAGGGGAGCTCTAGGTGTCCCTGCGTGCTAGCCCAAGGGCTGTCAGGGAACACTGGACCAAGAGACGGCTGCCCCCAGGGTGCTGCCTGCTGCTGGGGTGGGGATAATTTTCCCCTACTCCAGCAGCAGGGAGCTCCTGGCCCTGGTTTCCCCAACAGGGGCAGGGGACTCAGAAAGAGCTGCAAGAGAGGGGTAGGTCCCAACCCCTTGCCCCATCCACTCCCCAGCCTGTTTCCTGCCCAGCTCTGTGATCATGGACGTGGGTGGGGAACACGATCCCCAGCCCCAGCTAGCAGCGAGATCTCAGCACTGGCTTCACAATCAGGGGGCTGGCACAGGGAAATCCTTATCTCCCAGCCCAAGCCCCATGATCATGGGCCCAGGCTGGGAGACCTTTATTTCCCAACTCCCTACTTGCCAATTGCAATCTTGGAGCAGGGGGCCTGGAGTTCCCTGCCGGGAGCAGGGGAACATTGTCCCCACCACCTGGGATTCATTGGTGGAGCCCTCCTGAGCAGCAGATCCCGGGGTCAGGGAGCAATCTCCCATCCCCTGGTGGCCAGCAGACTGGGAGCAGATTTTCTCCTGGTCAGGCATCTACATGAGCGCTACTGCACCATTACTAATTGCAATTCAATTTGCTATTTACTCATGATTAGTGAGGTTTACTGTGCAGTAAGCATATACATATGTAGATGCACATGCTTACTGTGCAGTAAACTATGCTACTTCACACTAAAGTGTCTCATGTAGATGAGCCCAGTAAGAACTAGTTCCCTACTTAATGACCACATTGACATGAGTGCTTTACTGCGGAGTGGACTAATTGACTGCAGAGTAAAGCATCACTGTCTACACGTGACGGTACTAGGCTGCAGTAAACTAAATGCTGTTGTGAGAGAGTACTGTGGGGGATAGCAGATGCAAGTGTAGACACTGACCGTGGGTGTAAATTGTGCCCAGTGAGCCCAGCCAGCAGGGGGCCAGACTCCTGCCTGCTACCTAGCCAAACAGCTCCACACTTTCAACAGCCTCATGCTCTAGCCAGCCCCTCTGCCACCTGATGCCACCACCTGGAGCCTGGGGCAGAGCAGGGCAGGAGTGGTCCTGGTGTAAACTACTCTGCTCCGTCTCAAATTGCTGCTGTCCCAGATGCGTGTGTGGACATTATGCCTGGGTAATTTACTCTGGCTCAAACTGCTCCAGAGTTTATTGCTTCTAATCAATTGTATGTTTAGATACACCCAATTTGTCCTATAATTCCCATTCCTGAGTGTCCCATATTTTTGTTACACATCTCCTCAGCAGTGTGCCCTGGTTGCCAAGAAGGCTAACAGCATACTGGGCTGCATTAGTACAAGCGTTGCCAGCAGATCAAGGGAAGTAATTATTCTACTCAGTTCTGTACTGGTGAGGCAACATCTGGAGTACTGTGTCCTCCCACTATAGAAAGGATGTAGACAAGTTGGTGAGAGCGCACAGGAGAGCAACAGGAATGGTTCAGGGTCTGGGGCACATGGCTTCTGGAAGAGGGACTGAGGGAACTGGGTTTTAGTTTGCAGAAGAGAAGGTTAAGCAGGGATTTGATAGCAGCCTTAACTACCTGAAGGGTGGTTCCAGAGAGGACGGAGTTAGATTAGATTGTTCTCAGTGAAGCACTGGAACAAGTTAACTAGAAATATGGTAGAATCTCCATCCTTGGAGGTTTTTAAGCCCCATCTTGACAAAGCCCAGGCTGGAATGATCTAGTTGGGGATGGTCCTGCTTTGAGCAGGGGGCTGGACTAAATGATCTCCTGAGGTCCCTTCCAGCCCTATTTTCTATTATTCCTTGAAGTAAGAGGTTTTATAAAAGAGTTTACTTCTGTAGTCTTATAGTTCAATTATATTAAAAAGTAGATAAAGCTCTTGTCACATATTTTATCTCTTCTAATTCTCTTTATTTGTGTAAGAGCACTACAAACACAACTGCAAACCTTCCTATTTTTCAATCCAGTATAGTTTTCAGTGAAATAGTCCAACTTTTATAAATTCTGAATATATCTTTTTTCCTTTTAAAGTGATTGAAATTGAAAAAACTGTGAAGATATCAAGGGAAAGAGGTAGGATTATTTTTAAACAAAGTATTAAAATCCCAAGTTCAATAAAAGTATATAATGCAAGTTTCAAAACCACTCAAATTCAGTGGTTACATAATACTAAAGTCCTTAAATACTTTTGAAAAAAAAAATTCAAAATGCTTTCCTAAATGGTTAGCAGTTCATGTTCCAGTCTAAAATTGGTTACAAATGATGCCTTGGCCTCATCGGATCAGCTCCCATTGGGCAAAATCCCAAGGTCCTTCCTTAGGTTTGAATTAGGTCCCTCCCTTTTCTAGGAGGGCAAGAATAAGGTAAGAATATAGGAGGGATGTACTGTACCTCTCTTGTTTCCATGCCTTAAGCAAGGATTAGGGCCAAGGACAGTCAAGGACCCTATACTTGGAAAACACAACTTTTGGATGCCAATGGCGTGCACAGTTTTAGTGAGGTAGAACTATGGCACTCTACCTCACATAACTGCACCTATAAAGGTTTGCATGATGGAGAGACTATGGAAGGAACCTTCCTTCTCTTCAGACCATGATCTCATGGCAGCAGGATAGTTTCACACGACTTTTTGTTTGGGTATCACCTAGCTCTAAGTTTTCAATGAGTCTTTCTTCTGGCCATTTCTCACGCTCCTATTGAATTAAATAGGTGTTGACTTGAAACTAGATGCGAGTAGGGACATCAAGATTGGATGCATGTAGTCAGGATAAAACTATTTGAATAATGAATACAGATTTTTAATTATTGTTATAAGCAGCCAGTGTATTCTCTGCTGCTGTTCATGGAGTTCTGTTATCTGTGAATCACATGCCTTTGTCAGCATTCATACATATCAGACACTCATGAAAATACCCTGAATTCGCTAAATTTCTGAAATTCTTTTATCCTTATTTAAGATGAAAAAATACAAAATGTGAAAATAATGTTGGGTCAGAAATAAACAAATTACCAAGCAGGTTTATTTGTTTCCCAATTGGGAGCAGAGACCATTTCATGTGATCAAGGTGAACAATCATGGAACACAAATAAAAAATAGTGAAAAGATCATAGATTGTTCAAAGACTAAAAACCTTTTATTCAAGTTATAATATGAAATATGTTAATATCTTCCTCCATAGTTACTGCTGCTCCTACCATAATCTGAGTCTCCTTAAACACAGGGTTCTGTTAAAGGAAAGGGTAATCACCAGTAATCCTTTGACATGGCTTAGTGCCCAGGTTGGAGCAGAACTGTCTCCAAGGGTCTTGACAGATGTTAATTTAATGAGATGTGATCCTGGATCCTCAAACTAATGCATCTTGCTATTGTATATCAGACATGCATAACAGGACATGCATTTTTTTGGCAATTTATAGTGTTAATTGTGCCATAAATGTAATGTCCATCTGGGGCCCGAGTTTAGGATGGAAATCTCCAACATGCCTTGGCAAGGTTGAGAATTTGCTCCTTTGTTCTCTATATTCAGTAGTTGTCATCCAATATAATCACCAATGCATTTAATAATGTTCTGTATTTGTTTACAGAAGAGAAGAAGGATGAAGAGTGTTCTGCATCTGGCAGCCTTGCAATCTGGATACTGGGAGTGCTGACCATTCTTAGTTTAGCTGGAGCTGGCCTCATGGCCTCTTTCTTATACAAGAAAAAAATGAGAAATCAAGAGGAAAAAAGTGGTGAAGGCAATGAGATACAACTGAATAGCACTGATACTGCTGCTTAAGGAAGTAGTGATATAAAGGATTCTGTAGGCAGTATCAGGCAAAATGTACACACTGTCCTCTAGTTTAATAAAACTAAGGATGTGCCAGATTTGGTAATTTAACTTAGTGGAATGAATTGAATCTCTAACCAAAGACAAATTCTCTTGTAGCAGTAATTGCTTATTTTGTGTTGTATGCATTTTTAAGCAAGTAGAAACATTCATTACTATTATACTGTTCTAGCATTCAGACTCTTCCCATAAATGGAACAAGTGAGCATGGATAATTGTTCAGAAATATTATTTCTTATTTAGAACTAGATGGCCCTAAGATATCATGATAATTCAATTTGCTTTGTGGAAGCCAAAAAGCACTCAAGAAAGTGTTAATCTAATTCTGCTGACATTCTGAAAGTTATCCCACAAAACTCATTCTAGCAACCCACTCCTGTTTTGTTTGTTTGTTTTTGAATGGGAATTACGTTTTACTGTTTATGTAAAGAAGTATTACGCATTATCACTTCAGAAAATTTTAGGAGACACAAAATCTTGCTGCTTTCATTTTCTTTAGTGTAGTAACAGTAATGTAGTAACTTGTAATCAAGTTCAAATAAATCTTGATAATAAATAAACTTGTAATCCATCTCAGTTCTGCAAATGGTTTTGTAATTTTGTGTGGGAACTATCAAGGTATTGCCCACCTTTCTACAGCAAAGAATTGCTGAGGTGCAATTTAGGAGCTGCTATTATGACTAAGTGGTCTTAGTAGGATACACTTTGCTCATCCTGCATGGGGAAGGAGCTAAAAAGGTGCCCTAAACTTAGGCTGTATTATCTGCTTCTGGTTGGAAAAATGCATCCAGTAGGATCACTTTCTTTGTAGTCAAAAATGTCATAAGACAACAATGATTTTTACAACATGTAACAGTCACACCTTGATGGATAACCAAGACAATGAATGACCAGAAAAAAGAATTGCCATCGTCTCCAGGGAACTAGAGAGATGCAATATTGGCATTGCAGCTGTGAGATGAGACAACCGGATGAGAGTTAATTGACAGAAGAGAGGGTGGAGGCTACACCTTTTTCTGGAAGGGGAAACCAGCCCAGGACAAACGTGTTCTTGGTGTTGGTTTCACCATCAAGAATCAGTTCATCAGTCAAGTTATAGAGCTCCCTGCGGGCATTAATGAATACCCAAACAAAAAGTCATGTGAAACTTCAGTGCCAGTTGGGCATAGCCTGGAACTCTGCAATGGCACCACTGGGAAGGAAAGAGTAGGGAAAGCTAACTCCAGTGCCATCCTTCCCCTGAGCACATGTGCAAAGCACAATTTTGGCACAATCTTCAGACAGTAACAAATATAAGACTACCTGGAGACATCTTCACTCTAAGCACTGGCACTTCCTTGACTATGTAATTGTTAGGGCCTGTGGTCAAATGGATGTCCATGTCACGTGAGCAATATGAGAAGCCAATGACTGCTGGACAGAACATCATTTTTCAGACCCATGATGAACATCTGGCTTGCTCCAAAACAACCAAAATATGAAGGACTTTCAACACCAAATCTCTTCAGTGCCTGAAGGTCTGTATAGATTTCAACAGTGTCTCCAAGAACAGCTCTCTGCCCTGCCCACAGATGAAGGCAACACTGAGGAACTTTGGAAGGGGTACAAAACTGCCATCCATATGGCCTGTGCTGAATCCATTGGCTATACCACCTATCAATACCAAGACTGTCTCAATAAGATCAATACTGTGATCCAAGTTTTCCTCGACCAAAAGAGAAGGGCTCATTCTGCTTGATGACTCCTCATCACAACTCCTCAAAGCCAAACCTCAAAGGAGGGTTTGGGAAATCAGTGGTGGTAAGATAAAGCTAAGGATATCCAGATCTATGCTGATGAACATGACATGCATAGCTTTTTCTGGGCAATGAAGGCCATCTATGGGCCAGCTTCCCATGGTCCTACTTTGCTTACTTGACACTCCTCAAAGATGGTGTGTAATCAAGGAAACCAAGAACAAGGCTACTATACCCGATGGCATACCTGATGAAATATACAAAGATGGCATTGAGGAACTGGAACTAAGACTCCATGAACTTCTTCTTCAAATCTGGAATAACAGAGAGAGCCTGAGGAATGCCAGCACCATCACGATCTTCAAGAAAGGAGATTAGTCTGTACTGTATTCTCTTCTAGAGTGGGGAAAATCCTCCTGAACCATTTTCTATCTCTTGCTGATGAAGAAGTCTCAGTATGGTTTCAGACCATTCCATGGGGCAGTGGTTATGATCTTTGTTGACTACCAGGTCCAAGAAAAGTTTTAAAAACACCAGGACCTGCATATGGCCTTCATTGACCTTACTACGGTCTTGATTCCATCAAACATGAAGCATTACGGAAAGTACAGGCTGGATGTCTGGAAAAGTACATCAAGGTCCTGAGGCTTCTCTCTGACCATATGACTGTGACCATTCTTATAGTGGATCAAGTCAGATTGAGTCAGGCACTGACTTTAATATAAGCTTATGTAATGCCAAGCACAATGGGGCCCAACCTGTTTAAAGTGTTAAGGTGCTGTACCAATGTAAATATTACCATATTTACTTAATGCTAGGATGACTCTAAATATAAGACAATTGCTGTAGTAATTAGATTCTATATATGGAAAATGTATAAATGTCATAATTGTCTAGGTATAGAATCTAATTATTTGACAGTTATCTTGAATTCATCTTCTTCCCACTGCTACAGCAAGGAAAATAGTGGCTGGGAGGGGTAGGTGGCTGGAGAGAGTCAGATGACCCTCTTGCCTTCTTCCATTCCACTTCTTCCCCAGGCAGCCTTCCTGCCTCTCCCCCACATGCTGCAACCTCCAGATCCCCACAGTCTCTGTCCATCCCCCACCCCCCACAAAGTCTCTGCCTCTGCTGCCCTCCACCACTTAGTGTCAGATCCTGCTTAGGGTCAGGGCAAGTAGAGGGGATACAGGAGACCCCCAGCCTAGACTCAGGACCAGAGTCAGAACCTCAAAAGCTTGCTGTCCACCCCTTTCCTGCTTTCTACAGGAAACCTTATTAATTTGAAATACACACACCATTTGGTTCTGGATTAATATAACTGATTTTTAAAAAAACTAAACTTACCCATAGTCATTTTCATATTACATTACTTTACATGCAAATTACTATCAGTATCTGCAGAGTTAATTCATCCAGAATTGATCATTTTAACTTGTTGCAAACTGCTGCACGTTTAAGCACAGGTATTCCATAATTTTTGGATTTTAAACTTCATTGTAGAACAACAAGGAAGTTTTTTACTTCCCTGCCTGCCATCTGACATCTCCAGGGAAGGAATTCTACCTCATCAACACATCAAAGAGCTACTCAACACAGCTCACAAAGATACTCACATGGACCCAGGGGAACAGCCTTCCATCTTCAGCTCCCACTGTGCAAAAATGAAGTTTATTTCCTGCCTATGGGGACTTTTTACCATCTTGTACCATCTACACTTTTCCCGGAGCCTGGTGAAGGACTTTGATCCCGAAAGCTTGCAGAAAAGGACAATTTTCTTGCCATTTTCCAGTTGGTCTAATAAAAGGTATCATTTTGGAACCAAGAGTTCTAGTTTTTTGCATGGTATTCCATAAATGCACTTTTGATCAGCACGTTTGTACTTAGTACTTACATACTACAGATTATACATTATATTAATCCAGAACCAAAAGGCTCATGATTTATCATAGTTCATGGGCCCCAGCAGTCAACAGCATTAAAGACATGGTGACATCACAGCCTGGCACTGCTCAGTATGTGTATGTACTCCAGTTACCCTCCTCCCCATCTGCAAAAAATCCATGTGCTGATTAGCCCACCACTCATGACTGGAACTGGATTTTCTTGTCAACCCCTGAGAAGCAGACAGAATGGGATCAGCAGGAGAACATATGTCAAGTGAGAAGCAGAGGACAGCGGGAGCATGATAACAGGTTGGCCCACCAGGAATGGCATGGCAGGACAGTACCAAGAGGCTTGTGGTACCAAGAGAAGCTAGAGAGAAGCAGAGGCTGTGGCTAGAGGCAACTTTAAATTGACAATGGGAAGCAAATGGGATTAACAATGAACAGATATGATTTCCTGGAAAAGGTACTGTTTAAGGTTTTGGAAGTGCAGGCAGAGCTTCTTAAACCAAATGATGACAATTTACTTACTGGGATGGAGAAGGGCATGATAACTTTTGGAAGAAGTATACAGAGAAAGGTAGGAGAGAGGTATTAAGAAGGATAAAGTTCATAGCAGGGGAAAAGTGAACAGAAAGAGTGATTATAGTTTGAATGTACATGGATTTAATGGAGGCAGAAAACAGAAAGATGGCTGGAAAAGTACATCCAAAGGGTAATGTCGATAGAGGAGGGACAAATATGATATTTGGATAGGGTCTTGGAGATCATGAGTAGTGTTACAAGCAGATGAGTGGAGCCCAGGTGGAGTGCTGCATCTCCCATCGGTGATCCATATCAGGGCATACTGAGGTTATATAATGCCCCGAAAAAATCAAAATAGTGTAGCAAATGCAGAAAGGTGGGGGACCTGTCCACACACTGTCTCCTCACAGTTGTGCTACAGATGTGAGGAGATGGGGCATAGGGCAGCAGAGTGCCAGGAGTCCCTAAAATGTACTATTCAGAAGAGGGACACTTGTATTATAGGTGCCCCAAAGTATTTGCAAGTATAGTCAGACCACCTGAGGAACAGCAAAATCTGGAGTGGGAGAATGAAAGAGAGGAGGGGTTGGTCACTGAGGTAGAAATGGCAGAAGAAATAATGCAGGAGGGTGAAAGAGAGAAGATGGGGGGTGAAATTTATGTGATTGAGGCAGAACAGGAGGAGATAGAAAATGGAATGGAAGGGAAGGAGGGAACAGCAAACAGGTCAGACATGGAGGTGGGGTTGGGGAAGAAAGAAGACACTTTACAGACAACAGAAGTGGAGATGGAACAAGAGAAAGAACCAAAGAGACAGGCCAGGGAAGGAAAGACAATCAGGGGCTGAAGACCAGGAAGAATAAACCTAATTATGAAGGAGGTGAATCAGAGGAAGAACTGGAGAGCAGTTTTCTGTCACTAACATACCCCTGCTCTGGCCCAGGGTAGAGATCAGAAGGCGGGAAGTAGCAGGGAGGCAGGAATGTGCAAGCCTTCTGTAGCAGGGTGGCATCCCCAGGGGTGGCCATAAGCCCTTTGAGGCCCCCAAATTTCCCGTTTGCTCTGTTCACTCTAGGAACAGTCTCCCCTTCGTTTGTCCACCACACCTTGATATCTTTTATGGTTATAAAAAGGAGGCTGCCCCAAGGCTTCCCAGGCCTGTACTTGCTCTAATGACCACCTAGTGGCTGTCATCCTTTGCCTTATGGGTTAATTACATGGTTCTGCACCTCCCCTAAATCATGTCCCATCATGGCATTATTATGGACATTCTCTTTGGCACATGTCTACACTCATGGGCCATCCTTTGAGCCTTCAGACCCTGAGTCTTTTGCACAGACAGCTTCTGTGCTGTGCACAGCCCCATTTGAGTCTCTAGGCCCCTCAGTTCCTCATTCAGCCACTCTGGGATGCCAGACCCCTTGGATCATTGCCTGACTCCCCCCCCCCAGGATCTCAGGTTGCTTGGAACTTGTTAAAAAAAAAAGCCCTGGTGTTCACCAGATGCTGCTGGGTGGGGGGCAATCTCTGTTGCCTCCCACTGCCCCCCCAACTGTGTGGGGGGTTCTGCACAAGCGCCTGAAGCCCCGAGGCTGCACCAGGAGTGGCGAGTGGCTTTTCTTGTTTGTTTTTTTTCTTAAAGGGATGGAGCTGGCCCCGGTGGGACACCTGTGTGGGGGGCTGGGGGAATGGGGGGATCAGGGGGCTTCTGGCATGACCCCCCATGCAGCATGGGGCAGTGGGAGGCAGCAGGTATTGCCCCCCACCTGGCAGCACCCAGTGAGAACCAGGGCTTTTTTTTAAAGTACCTAGAAAGGGGAGAGACAGCCATGGGGAGGGGGCTGGGGGACCGGGGGGTTGGGCAGGGGTCCCCCCATGGTCCCCTCCCCAGCACCCCTCATCCACCCCTAGTACCTACCAGCTGGAGTTGGCTGCAGCTCCCTGCTGCAGTCACCAGGGACTGTCTGAATCATCAAAGCTCTCTGAATCTTTCCCAAAAATTCAGAGAGCTTTGCATTGATTTGGACCTTTAAATTGTTACCCTGATTTGATTCAGATTCAGAGATTCAGCCACCTAATTGGGCCAAATCTCCTCCGAATCGAATCACCGCCCAAAGCTTCGCACAGCCCTAATGATCATCATGGGTTACATTCTACCAACCTCATAGTTGGTTTCCATGACTGCGTTTGCTTCTCTGGCAGTAGCTTAAGGATAGGTAATGTGTTTAATGGGATTTTTTGGTATGCAAATATGAGCATTTTTCCCCCATTCTGTTTTGGAGAAAAAGCCTTGTCTTATATCTGAGTAAATATGATACTCTAATTATACCTGGTAATGCATGCTTTACTAAAAATGGAATCTTAAGGATACTGTCACTTTCAACTGAGTTGTAACTGATAGAGTTTGCATTCTAGGACCCCTACCTGTGGGTAATGCTGCTAGAGGGGGAGATGTCAGCACAGCTAGCAGCTCTGGAGTTAGCAGGGATCTACCTTTGATTCTTATCTTGAGTAGTGATTTAAAACGCTGAATTTGGGGGCAAAAGAAAAGAAAAGAAAAGCAGCTGCAGGGTAGTTAAGAGGGTTAACACCCTGGCTGCTAGCCTTACCAACAGCTCCCCTCCCAGCAGCAGCATCTTCCCTGGGGGAGCCTTGAGTCACCCTGTCTCCATTCCAACATCTGTGTTACTCATGATCTGGGGTCCATGTCCCATTCACCCTCCCCTAGTCATTCTGTGGGCTCTGAAATTCAATGAATTTCCGTTTTAACAACTTCTGAAATACCAGTTGAAGTCATCTGTTTTAGTAGCTAAAATTACGAGTGGATTATGAAAAGTATTAAACAAGTTATATATAGTATCCTAATGATATAATAAGGAGAGCCACTCATATGGTTAAGGGCTTACAGGACAAGCCCTATGAGGAGAGACTAAGGGACCTGGACCTCTTCAGCCTCTGCAAGAGAAGGCTGAGAGGTGATCTTGTGGTCGCCTACAAATTCATTAGGGGAACACAGCAAGGGATCAGAGATGCTCTGTTCACTAGGGGACCTCTTAGGGTAACAAGGAACAATGGTCACAAACTGACAGAGAGCAGATTTAGGCTAGATATCAGGAAAAACTTCTTCACGGTAATGGTGGCCAAAATTTGAAATGGGCTTCCAAGGGAGGTGGTGCTCTCCCCTACCTTGAGAGGTCTTTAAGACAAGGCTGGATAGGCATCTGGGTGGGGTCATCTGACCCCAGCACTCTTTCCTGCCCAGGCAGGGGGTCCAACTTGATGATCTGTTGAGGTGCCTTCCAACCCTAGCATCTATGAATCTATTAATTATATGTACTTATGCTTCAGTTGCTGATATTTGTCAGCATTTCAATTTTAGTAATTTTGTTCATTTTCTCAAGTTTCCATATTAATCTTTCATAAAATATTATTCAGAAATTCAGTCAGTTCCTCTCTTTTTAGCATAATCTAGAAGATTTCCTCAGGGAACTGCCTTTCCCTTTACATTTTCTGCTGAACAGTCAAATAAAAACAATTTAATTAATTCTTGCATTTAGATATCTCCATTGGATTGGTAGCATTAGCAAGGATTACTGATTTCCACTGCTGTCACATTATCTTTTCACATTAAAAACATTATTGAATTTATACATCTGTTATAAATTAATAACACAATTTTTCTTTTCTTCACTGATGTAATGAAACAATAGAGATTTTACCACACCTTCAGCTCTCTTATGAAATATGAACTTTCATTTCTACCCAGGGGAACTCTTACAATCTTTTCTGATGCCTAAAGAAGGGGGTTTGTGTCTGAAAGCTTGCAATTAAAGAATTTTTTTTGCAAAAATCTAGATGGTCTAATAAAAGACATCACTTCTTCCACAAGTCCTTACTGATCATTTGTGAGGTACCTTTAGGCCAAAAGGGTATACGTCTCCACTTGATGTGTATGTAGATTTGAAGAAGTATGAGATATACGACAGTGTGGTTCAGACAAAGTAATTTTTTGCATTGTGGACAAATACATGTGGGGTGAATTTCCTTGAGTAACACAAAGTCTCATTCCTTTCCACCAAACATGTATTCCAAACTCCGTATTCCTGAGTACTGACCAAGACAATATATCCACCTTGAGCATAGACAGATGTCCAAAAGGCACCAGACTGCCAAAGGTTTGTGCTGATTTAGTTAAGGAGCACTTGGAAGCGCTGGATGGGTACAAGTTGGGGGGGATGACCTTCTCAGAAGCTTAGTGGCTGAAAGGGATCTTGGAGTCATAGTTGAGGGGAGGTTGAGGGATCTGGATCTCTTCAGTCTTCATAAGAGATAGCCGAGGGGAGACCTTGTAGCCACCAGAAGTTTATCTGGGGAATATAACAGGGAATTGGAGATGCACTATTTACCGGAGTGCCCCTAGGAGTAACTAGGAATAATGGGTGCAAACTAGTGGAGAGTAGATTCAGGTTAGATATTAAGGAGAAATTTTTTACAGTAAGGGTGGCCAGAATCTGGAATGGGCTTCCAAGAGAGGTGGTACTATCACCTAACTTGGAGGTCTTCAAGAGGAGGCTTGATAGTCACATGGCTGGGATCATCTGACCTCAGTCCTCTTTCCTGCCAGGGGCAGGGGGTCAGACACAATGATCCTTTGTGGTCCCTTCCGACTCTACAATCTACGGATCTATGAGACACTAACATTTTTACTGGGTACTATGAGCACTATCTCACTGTGTCTGAGGTGTAAGCTTTATGAATTAGGAGATGAATTTTCATCTTCAACTTTACTAGCTTCCTCACTAACCTTTGCAGAGGTTTGACAGGCTATGACATGGACCCGTTCCTGATAATAACAAAGCCTCAGGAAATGGCAAGAATTATAAGCTCATTGTTTTCTGACTACAGCAAAGAGCAATTCCCTTCCAAAAAGCAAGTTCATAGCATGAATTCTTCTTGTTTCAAAATACTATATGTGACAGGATATTTCCTTATTTAGAGCCCAAAGCTTTCCCCTCATATATCAGCCCTTTGAAACAGAGGAGAACTTGCCATCTGCCTCATTTTAGAAGGGTTTTATTGACCATGGATATTATAGTTCATCTTTTAATGTAAAGGAAGAAAGAAATGAAATATATGCAATGACTCTTTCCGGGTACCTGATTTTCTTTTCCCTAATTCATAGTGCTTTGCAACTGCTGGGTAAGTCTCTGTTGTTTATCCCCAATAAAACTGGATATGAAAGTGCTTTTGTTTTTTACTTCTCTCCTTAGGCATTTTATTACTGTCATAAACAGCCTAACTGTTCTTTATTTTAAATTTAAGACAATATATGGCATTGCTGGAATATATTTGAACCCTCTCAGAAGAAGACATGGCTTTACACAAGAAATAAGGAGAGAGGGAGTTCCTAGCAGGAGATTAGAAAATGGCAGAAAGGAGGACACAAGACAGGGCATTTAATTCTGAATTTCCAATTTTCAAACAGTTATGAAAAGATCATTGATGGCCCTGTGTGTACAGGTTTGGGGTTGGGGTGGGGGAAGGGAAGGGTGGACTTGCAATGGGAGATGAGGGAGTAACTAGACTTGTTTACCTTCCCCTGCCATTACATCAATTGTCCAATGACCAAACAAAGCATAGTTAGCACTGTGGGTGCCTCTAACTTCTGCAAGCATGGGAAACTGGCTTCTGCGTTCGCTCGCTCTCTCTCTCTCAATCAGATCAAAAGTAAAAAGCCAGCCCAGAATATTTATATAGACACGTACTTTTATAAGAGCCACACTATCAGGCATATAACTGGAAGTATAATAAAGGTATAATGTGTGCATGGGTGTAAACAAAAAAAGACCAATTATGTTAAGGTGGAACTGGGATTAAAAGTGCACACCAAGAATTTAAGGTAAAAGAACTCTTCTGCAATATTGTATTTTTCTAAAAAAAACCAAATATTAGAAACACAGGAACTTCACAGTTAGAAGTGAATATATTTGAGTGCTAAACATTTCAAGCTGTGGAAATGCTCAACTAAGGCATCCAAACAATCTTAAAACTTCCTCTGGAAGCTCCTAGATTCTATAGTCATTTAAGTGAATTGGGCCTTGTCTGGGCCCTACCTTGAAATGTAGGAGAGGCAAGCTCAGACCTTGGCATCAATTTCCTGAAGCTCCTGATACCCCCATGTTTTTACACATACTCCTGCAGAGTTCTTCCTTGGCTGTGGTAGACTTCTGGTTTTGTTTGGGGCAACCTGACAGGAAACTAAGGAACAGAGGCACAACCGAGACATATCTTAACTATAGTTACTTTCCTTTTAAACAGCATTATGAAGTTACAGATGTTTGCCCTCACATTCTAATCTCTACATTTCTGTGTGTTGATGGCCTTGCCAAGCTTTCTGGCCATTGTGTCTAGGCTGTGAATCTTTCATACCTTCCCGCAGTCACGCTAGTTAAGGAGTCTGTTATTCTGTGGGACTGGGACAGCAGTTGGGAAGGAATCAAAGATGCACCCTAGACTGCACATTCAAGTAGGTGTCAAGTACCTTTCATAGGTCAGGTAGCAGTTTGGACTGCATTACAGTAACATGCTCATTTCTAACATGGCACCAAGCAAAGGAGTAGCTGTCTGCAGCAGAATGCAGAATTAGTAAGAATCACAGAGATTCATGATCAAGCATTCCTGAAAGGTAAAGTAACAAAGGAATTATGAGAGAAAACACTGTGGGAAACCCTGGTTCCTTTGAAGTCAGTGATAAGATTTCCACAGATTTCAATGAGATGGGGATTTTTAATTTTTTTCTGCCTGTCACAACTGTGTCTCAGTATTCTGATCAAGCTTGTCAGCAGCAGTCTTAATGTTGCCTTTGAAAAAGAGAAAGCCTTCGTTGCCTAGTCCCTTGAAACCATCACTGCCTACAAGATAGGGGGAAGTGATCATTCCCTGTTTAGGAAACATAGTGATCCTGGCCCTGTCTCCATTCCAGGAAAGATTATGCTTTCCATGTCTTCTGATCTCAGTTCATGATGACAGAGTAGCCATAATTGGTTACATATTTTAATTTTTTTCTGGTAGTTTTCAAGGAATATGTCTAATTGTAAGGTAAAGCCTAAAGGAAGTTAATATCACTAGGAAATGGGTACTTTTACAGATTTCAGGAATTAGTCTGCCATAAATAGATGTTTGTAACTGTTATGAAGGAGGCTATTAGGCCACAGATTTGGAATATGACAAAGGAGGAGGTTAATTATTTTTAAATGTTTATAATTTCTTTCTGCCTTTAGTCTATGGAACCACTTAGAAGATGATTTTTCAAGAGCTCTGATATGATTATACTTAGCTTTTGTAAAGTTTTGGATTGCAGGGTCTAGTAAAAGAAAGAACCTTCCATCCCAGGGCTAAGATAAAATGTTGATTGATTCTTTTCATTGATTAGGAGAAATCTTTTAGCCTTTAAATATCTCTCCATATGTTTATACACTGCATTCTTCTTTTCAACTATTAGTATGTATTTTAGTGCTCTGAAAAGTGTCATTTTATTGGATGGCTTTGATTAAGGAAAATAAAGTTTCTTAGTTGTTAATTTTACTTCTTTTAGTTCAATTTACTAATTAAAAAAGACAAAGAAGTTTCATTCAATTCATTTTGTAACTTAGAGATAACAAAAAATCTCAGTTCTACACTGTGGATTGAACTGAATGCTCTGGATTCCAGTAATGGATGGCAGTGGATTGGTAGCAATCCTTACAGATATTTAAACTGGGCTCCAGGTAGGTGTTAAATCTGTTTAATACCAGGAATTATTGAAATAGATTTTTCAGCTTGTTTCATGGAAATGCTCTTTGATTTCAAAAGAGCTTTCTTGATTTCTACTAGCTGAATTTCTGGCCCACTGTGTTGATGGTATCATGCACAAATGCATACTTTGGATTTCAGCTCCAGTATGTTTTTTCTCATTATAAACATGAAATTTGTCCACAGAAATTGAATTTCATTTGGAATTAGGAATCACCATACAGACTGGAGATCAAAATTCTGTACATAGATAAGGAGGCACTATATCCCTTTAGTTTTACACCAGTATAACTAAAGTAACTCAGTAAGGAATGTGCTCATTTCTCCTTTTAGCTTCCTTCCTTGTTGAAGTATATCTATTGTTTCTGACAGGGTCAAACTTGGGGTAGGAGTAAACGTAGTGGTACTTTTCTGACATTGTTCAAAAAAGTAAGTCTTGCTCATGCAGGCTGTCACAACAGATGCCCCAGGATTTCAAAATTTGATCATGTGAGCTCTTTCATATCTCTTCAGTGGGGCTAACTTATGGTTGTTGGGACTGATTTTTCCTTAATTAGGAAGAAAAGTAATGGTGACATTTCCCAAACACTCACAAAAATGGATGTCACTTACAAAACATTACACATATTTGTGATGTTTCATATTTTTGAATAAACATTGAACTAATTAACACAGTTGACACTTAAATGATCATTACTGGGCTGTAATTATCATAATTGCATGCTATTAATTCAAAGTAGACTTACTATGCAGTAAAAATCCTGTGCAGTAAGCCTACAAGGGAGCAATCTAGTACAGGGCTGCTCCGACCCTGCTCTGCCCCAGTGCAGCAGACAGGGAGAGCTCCAGGCTCCCGCCCCACTGCTAGTCTGGGGGCTGGTAAGTTGCAGGGGGTGGTCCCAGTGGACATGGAGCCAGGAGAACTCTGCCAGTTGCAGTGGCAGCTGTCTCCTGGCCCTGTGCACATTGGGAAGGGACCTGATGTGCATGGGGCCAGGAGACAGTTGCCCCTGCAGTGGACAGAGCTCTCCTGGCCCCATGCATATCCAGATACACACCTGTCCACAAGTCCCCTGATGGGCAGGGGGTTTGCTGGGAGCCACCTGGGGTGTGGAGCAGCTGCAGGTGAACCCCCTGCTGGGTGGGGGGCCAGGCACAGGGCTTGCCAGCAGCTGCTCTGCTTGGCATAGAGCCAGCTGCTTTAGGGAGGGGCTGGGGCTGGGAATCCAGCCTTTGCCTATCACCTAGAGGAGCTACCTCCGCCCCACATGGAGCAAGCAGCTCTGGGGAGTGAGTGGGGGATGGGAATTCCATTGTTCTGTTGAAATACAGCAAAATATCAGCAAAATATAGCAAAATCCTGACTCTTAAATACTGATTCTAACTCTCTAAAATTTCAAAAAGGAATCCCCAGACCCTGCTTGCTCCCCAGAGCAGTCAACTCCATGCAACACAGAGCTGGCTGCTCTGGCTCTGCGGGAATGAGTGAGGGCTGGATTCCCACACCTTGCTTGCTCCCCAGAGCAGCAAGCTCTGTGGGCAGAGAGCTCCCCACTCCTGGCCCTGCTCATATCCCAATTCCTAGGGGGAGCTGGGGAGCTAAGCAGCATCAGGACCATGTGGCCCTCTGCTGGCTAGGCTGACCAGGAGCACATTTGCTCCTGGCCAGTGTTTACATGTTGTATACTGCACAGTATCTACTGAGCAGTTAATTTACTACCTATATTTATAGGTGGTAGCTAACTACACAATAGACTAATTTACTGCACAGTAAATATGAGCACATGTAGTCAGTGATGTTTTACTGTGCAGTAAACTAATTTATTGCACAGTAAAGCATCTCATGTAGACATACAGGAAACCGTTGCTATTCGCGGGCTCTGCATTCGCGGCTTCAAATATTTGCGATGCACCGAATATTCCCCGTGGAGCGTGATGACACTGTTACAGAGCCAGCAACATCTGCAGGAGCTCCATGCTTGCTGTTGCTGGGCTCCTGCTGTTCATGAATGCAGACAACATTCATGAACGCAGTTCATTATTTATGGATTTCGCCATTCGTGGGGATCTCCAGAATATATCTCCCACAAATGGCGAGGGTCTCCTGTACTCACTGTGCAGCTGTGTTAACACAGTACAGAGAGGAATGAGGAAGTTTGTATGCCTCAGAGCTATTGTTCCAGAATCTCTATAAATATATCACTGCTGCAGTTCAAATTAGTTTACATATCTAAGTGATTCTTTTCACAAGTTAGAGACCAATTTGTTTTAAAAAAATCTGAGATACTGGAGAACAAGAGAATTTCACAAAAGTGCTTGTATATCTATTCCTTAACCTTGGTGACATCATAGTTTAAGATAGAGGTTCTCAAACTTCTTAGACTCAAGGCATCCATTTGACTCATTTCTTGACTGATTTCTGTTTAAAGAACTCAGAAAACCACAGTAGATCAGAATGTTTTTGATGCTATGGTATCTGCTGTAGGCATTTCAATGCCTAACAGTGCTAATAATGCACAATACTCTGCAACATCTTTAAAAAACAGGGTGCTACTTTACCCTGTCTGAGAATCAGGTAAAAGCAATTGCTGTGGAATTTAGTGTCCCAAAGGTTATCATTTCTGGAGAGGAACAAAATAGGCAAAGTAAAGGTATAAACATTGCATGCCTAAGGCCCCCCTCTACACCTTACAAGTATTGCACAATTAGCTGGTTAATTGTGCAGTTACCTTGAGACCAGCTACACATGCAAAGTGTTTATCAAACCATAAAAAGCTCCAACCAGTTCTAAAATTAGACCCTGAAAATGTATACAGTATAACTTCATAAATCCAGATATCAAAAATCCAGAATCATCGAAAATCTGACACTTTTTAAAACTACACTCCATTGGGGAGTAGCAATGGCCAGTCCTGGAACAGCAGAGGGGGAAGCTTGCACGTGGTGGCTGCTGCCATCCACCACCCTGATCACCACTCCGCATGCAGCCACTGCTTTGGGACCAGCCGCTGCTACCCTCCCCCGCACCCGCAGTCCGGGACCGGCTGCCACTCAGGTTTCAAAAATCCAGAATTTTCACATTTCTGGCAGGTGTTCAGTCCTGAGCATGCTGGATTCATGAGGTTATACTTACTAAATTTATAGCTGATTGCTATTGAGCTTTAATTTCCCCATGTAGCAGGGTCTCCCCCACAGCTGGGAACCCTGTCAGGTGACGGTTCCCAGCTGCAGAGGTGCACCAGGCCCAGCTGGGGTTGAGAGATGTACAACTGAAGGGACTCTCAGCCCCAGCAGCTGCTAACTCCGGGTTCCAGCAGCAGTGTGCCTCCCAGCACTGGGACCCAGCTGGTTCCAGGCAGCCACAGGGTGTGGCTATGACCTTCCAGCCCCTGACATGTGTGTAACCCCTGAGGCTGGGAGACTGTGGCTGGCTGCAGTCTCCCAGCTGTGGGGGTTTCATGCACCTCTGAGGCTTGGAGATCATATCAGCTACAATTTCCTAGCTGTGGGGGTTAATGCACCCCCCAAGGCTGAGAGATCAGGACAACCACCATCTTCCATCCCTCGGGGTTTCATCAAGCCCTGAGGCTGGGAGATTCCAAAAGCATGCATGGCATGGCAGGAGGCACGATTGCACCTTTACCTGCATCCCATTGTGCCTTTACCTGCGTGTGTAAAGAGGCACTGATTCTACACCATTTTTGTGCTGACGTTATCATTTACAGCTGTGCCAATTAATATCAGAATTCTATTTACTCATGCCGGTGATGGATTTTTTACAGTTGTGTTGCACAAGAATACGTAGCTAGGTCCAAGAAAATGGAGATTTAGAGTCAGTATTTTGTTGTATTTAAAGAGCACTTTCTTTTTTTCCTTGCAAATCTGCTACTCAGATATCCTGCTTTCATCGGTTACTCTATACAATTTGAAATAAACTGAACCAGTGCTAACTTTGTCAGGCTATAAAGTTATCTATCCATATCCTATTCTTCAAATGATAATTTTTGGCTAAGTAAATGCTAATGAAACAACAAGAAATCATTCAGGATATTGCTCTAGATGGTGAAGAAAGAAAACGTAATTCATTGATAATTGGAGTGAAGCAATACCTTTTATTCATGTTCTAATTATTCAAATCAAAATTGCCTCTTGAAATTGATATTTTCATTAAAATTGTGGTTTTGAAAACCATCATTGAAACTGAAATGTCAAATTTCTGAAATTTGTTTTCCTCTTTTCTATTTTTCTTCCCTCCTGCTGCTATTTCTCCTTTTTCCCCATTTCCCCTTTTGCCAGTGTTCAACATTTCAGACCTCATCAAGTTTTGGAAAACATACAGATTGTCAAAAAGGAACTAAAACTGTTATTCATGTATCTTGAGTAAATTTTTTTCTCTATCAGCCAATTTCCTGAATTATTTATATGGCTGTTACAGATAGCCATGGAGGAGGAGGCGGGGGGGAGAAACCCCTTGACTAAATAGAAGCTATAATGTAAAGTCATCATTATTAGCAAATTATTGGAACTATTTTTAACTCATCATTTGAGAATAACTAGATTTCAAATTCATGGTACTTTCAAAGGAAGGACCCACCTCACCCACACAGTGCATGCCAGGGTCTCAGGAGAACAGTTAGAATCCAGCTTACATGGGGAGAGATCATGTGACCCTGTGTACAGAGCTTCCTGATATTCTCCAATCAGGGCTCTGAAATCCACTCAAGTCCCAGATTTAATCTACCCCGCATACAAACTCTGGAGGGTGGGGGTTCTTTATAAGATTCATCACAGTAAGAGAGAAATGTCAATAAATCAATCCTACCTTTGGCAGTACAATTTTTGCAGTGCTTACACATATTTTATTTTATCTGTATTATCTGTTTGAATCAGGAAATCCCGTCCCAGCTCCTGAGAAGTTCTGTGCAGTGCTAAATCCCAGAAAAGAAGCAAAGTGGGAAAACATGGACTGTGATTATAAATTTGGTTACATTTGTAAAAAGGAAAACTCCACTCTAGAGTTCCCCAATCTCCCCACAGGTAGATTTAATGTAAAAAAAAAATGTTGCTATGTTGTAGAAACTACAATCTGCCAAGGATAGAAGGGAGGTGTGTATGTTATATCTATGGTAATTTTATAGAAGTTATTTCATTGAGTCCTCTTAGTTGTTGTGTCACAACTAATTCATGACACTATGTTTCATAATACAGAAACTAAGAAGCAACTAATGAAAAAATAAAATGGTGACTTTAAAACAAAATTTTTTTTTTTTTTTTTTTTACAGAATGCATAGTTAACTTGTGGAACTTTTGCCACAGGTTGTTCTGAAAGCCAGGAGTATAATCAGGTTCAAAAGGAGATTAGACAAATGCATTAAAGATGGATCCATTGGGGCAATTCAACTCAATGTTCTGGGGTGTCGACTAAGCGTAGGGTGTGATAAGGAATGGATCTACATAGCCTGTTTCCTTCATACTTTTCCTCTAATCCAGGCACTCTTTGCCACTGGTCAAAACAGAGTTTTGGGATAAGTGGACCTTTCTTGGAGTGGATACATTTTTCACAGGTATTTGCAATTTGTCAAGATAGGTATAAAACAGAATTGTAATTTTATGCCGCTAATTTCTGCCAAAGGAGAATTTGCAGGTACTCTAAACTTTAACGCAAATACTTGGTCCATGCAAGCATATGCAATGCTTTATGTTCAGTTGAGGCAGAACAGGAGGAATGTCCATCTTCACTATCTCTATAAAGGGTGTCACAAGCTCCACTTTCCAGTTCTTTGAACCACATTCAATTCATAGACCACCTTTGTCCTAAAACATGAAAGTGACAATTTAATAGCAGTCCTAGTCAGAAATATACCGTAGAAGTATAGAAGTGACTGGGTATCCACTGATTTCTAGTAAATGGTAAGTGACAAGCATTATTTTAAAGCTTATATTTAAGAATAACTGAAACTGTCAATAATAAAATTAAAAAGAATGAGTCAAGATTTTTTCAAAAAGAGAGTCTAAAGTAACTGTATAAATAAGTGGCTTAGTATGAAGGGGAACTGAGTAGACGGGAGATTCTATTGAAATACATGAAGAGGAATCTTCCTGTACTAAAATAATTTATAATGATATCCAATAGGCAGTACTTGAGATGCAGTTGCTAAAGATTTAGAACATAAATTTCAGTGGCCAAGGATTATAATGAAGTGCTGCACGGGACATTAAATATTATAAATCTTTCCCAAACTGGACCTTTGGCTAAATTTAAGTACTAAAAGTGTAAAGTCCAATAAGTTTTTAATATTTATATTTTATATATTTAATACCAATCATATTTGAATCTATTTTAATCATATTTGAATAAATTTCAGGGTTTTTTTTACCTCAAATTAGACCATCTGCATTTTGTATAGGAAAATAAACCCCCAAACATTGTCACTCTCATTTTGCTTCAGTTTTTGTTTTAAATTGCTCTGAAAAGTTTTATTACAATTTTAGAGACATTTCAGCCTATTAAATGCCAAGACAGCTGGTCGTCATACAGAGGTCACTGTTACAAAATTCAGAGAGAGCCCCAAGAATGGAAAGAAGCTTTGGCTTTATGTAAGAAGGAAGATGGAGATTTGGCTGGTATCCACAATGTTACAGAGTACAACTTCATTATTTCTCAGCTGGGCTACAGTGAGTATTTCCTCAGAGAAAATAAGGCAGAGGCAAGCTCTCATGCCGTTCTCTGGACTCAAGGTTAGAGCTACCTCAGCTCAATGCAGGGGTACCCAATCATTCAAGTTAGAGAGTAAAAGGCAACCGGATATGGTTATATGGTTCCACTCCCATTACTTCCTTGTGTGTTTCTGGTCATAAACACTGTCCCGGGGGGATGAACCAAGCCCCAGTGTCACGATGGGCCGGGGTGGCAATTGAACATGGAAACAGAACGGGATTAGCAGCAAGGAGAACTCAGACTTGTGAATCATTCTTGGTTCCAAATTAACAAGGGCTTATTCAACTTACACTTTGTAGGTGTAGGTGATGATTCTTCAGTTACAGTTTTGAACAATTACAACACAAAGGGGGTCTGTTGGCCCACAGGGTTCCCCAACAAGCCCTTGCTATCTAGCCCAGAGACTAGGGGCGGCTGCCTGTTGGTTAGTCCTAGGGCTGGTCAACAGCCCATATATTGGAACATAGACAAACAAACTGTAACAGGTGAACTGTCCAATGTCCTTCATGACGCCAATTCAAGAATGCTGTAATTGAGAAGTCTGGTAGCTGGAGAGTCGGGCTGATCGTAGAGATGAGTCCTGGCCGTCGTCTCAGCAATCACCAAAGATTAACATGAAGTTAAAAGAATCGACAATAGAGGAGAAGCCTTCTGTAGAAATTAGGAAGCTTTCTCTCTCCCTCAGTATGGCAATCTCCTCTAAAGTCACTAAAGAGTTGTCCCATAGGACCAACTCTTCAACACCCACTACTCCAAAACTATCTTCACCCAACTCACCACCACACACCCACAACAACCCACACCTCAGGTGGGGGCCCATGAACTTTTATAGGGAAACCATAGCCAATTAACTTGCTCCTAGGCCAGAAAGTTCTAGTCCCCTGATGTTAGAGCAGTCTCTTCTGAGTCTGCGTCCACCCAGAGACTTTTTATCTACTAAGCATGTGCAAGCTAGAAACTGGGTCATGGTTGATTGACAGCTCTAAAGGTTATAGAAAGGGCAGCTCTGGTTCTGTATAGAATTTTCCACTCGCAGCCAAACTAAGTTCCAGCATTGGCAACATTTATTCGAAACTTTGCTTCAACAAACACCAGTGTGCCTTAGGCAGGCTAGCCCAGTAGACTATTTGACTCAGGATGATATTTCACCTTTGTTGATTTCTAATGGAACAGCCAGCTATTTTTAGTTCTGAAAAGTAATGTTAACATCAAGGTCTAAAGAATAAGTAAAGTACAAGGACTAAGTTATATAAAAATAGAAGAGCAGATGGCTCAGAGAGAATCTGAATCTCCACCCCCACACTTCCACAAGCATGCACATACCACACTTGGACACCACTGAAACAGAAAGCCTGAGCACCATTGTGGGATGTAAATTCAGGGCCATATTTTTGGCCTAATTGCTGGCCTCTTTCATACATAATGGAAATGAGTGGGCAGGAATTATTTTGTCAGTGGCAGTCCCAGTGTCAAGCAGGAAACCTTAGAGCAGAGGTTTTAAACTTATATGGCCCCATGGGCCAGATGAGTAGCACAGAGCTGGACCACAGGCTAGACTGGGTCCATGGACCACCCTCCACCCCAACCTTCACCCCTGCATGTCAAATCCATTGCATGCCATTCTGGCTGCCCCATGATCCATGCCACATGTGATGTACATCCAGATTGGCCAGGGTGGGTAGTACAAGTGGCATATATCCCAGAGTGGCTGGAATGGGTGTTGCATGTGGCACAGGCTGACTGGGGCAGATGCTGCATGTAGTGCAGGTTCCAGACCATCCAGAGTGGGTACCATGTGCTACAAGAAGTGCTCATCCCCATTGGACTGCACTGCATGTGGCACCAATTTTGTCTGCTCTGGGAACTGAGCAGCATGTGGCACCCCTCCCCTTCCCCCCACAGCCTGGTCAAGGACTCTGTAGCATACATAACTTTAGGCTGGTCTAGGACTGTGCACACCTGATTCAGCTGGAGAAGGTCAAAGAATGACTGGAACATGTGTCATGTATAGTACATGTCCTGGGCCCTGCCATTGGTCTGGGAGATGCAGGGCGAGCATCAGGGGCCAGATGAGGTGCTCTGTGGTTTGCATCTTTGACACCCATGCCTTACAGACATAGATGAAGCAACTGTCTAGTGCCTCCTGGTTGTTCCTTCCATCCCCATTGGTTTGCTTCAGTCAGTCATGATAGAAATTAACTGGAAAGTAGGTCTTCAATTGGAAGGCTGACCCACTGATTTTGGTCAGCTGCTCTAAAGGACATGATGATTGACTGACTGACTGCAGGGCTGGTGACAAACCTTCCTCTTCCTACGCTTAGGAGTTATTTTGTTGTTTTAGTTTATATAAAATTGCTCAGAATATTGTTTACATTTCCTGTTCTGCCACACACAAAGAGCTTTTTATCTGTTTGCTAAATGGAGGATTCTCTGAAAAACAGTAAACCAGGTTTTTTGTCAGAGATGAAAGCAATATTCCTAAGAGCCTTAACTCCCTCCATGCTGTATCCCAGTGTTTACTAACATAATTTTGTCATTCTAGATCTGACAATGTACACTGTTATTGCATAGAAAGATCAGTTACAAAACCACTGCTTGTATGTTTTTAGAGCCAACAGAAGAGTTGTGGATTGGATTGAATGACGTTAAAGTTCATCAATATTTTGAATGGAGTGATGAGACTCCAGTGACATACACCAAATGGCTACGTGGAGAACCCGCCTATGCAAAAAGGCTAGAGGATTGTGTTCTTATTAAGGGACAGGTAAAATAGTAGAGTTGTCTTATAGTTATGCTAATCCTTAACTAGTTAAAGTTGAAACCGCCTTTCATTATACACTGGGTTTTGAAAGATTTTTATGCCTCTCTCCTCTTTAAATTTTGTGCAGACCAAATCTCCCTGAAATTTCACATGCTTGATCTTAGCCTAAAGTCTATTTATATATGAGTTTGGGGCCAGCCAAAGAAGGCATCTAGAAAGTGAGAAAGCTCAAAATGAAGGAGTAGTATTTTTCCCAGTCTCACCTTGTAACATTTCATAGCTCCTAAAGGAGTTGGCCCAGAAATTTCAAATTGTTTTAATAAAATTACTATAGCTAAGACTAGAGCTTTGACCTACTTTTGGAAACTTGTTGTGTATTATTTTTGTTATATTATTATTGTTATTTAATTCACTAAATCATCATGTGCTTCAGTGAAATCACTTAGGTGTAAACCCAATTCCATCTCAATGACCATTTCTATGCTCCCACCCTCTCTCCCCACTGCCACCTAATAATCCCTTCTCCACATGCACTGAAGACAAGCAATTAGGCAGTGTAACACCTTTCTAATGTTCTCTGTCATTTTATCAAGATGCATAAACAGTTTTGAGAGAAGGGAGCATGTACCTGTTGGGTTTCATTTAGCCACTCCCAAGCGGCAGGGGATCAATTATTCTTATCCCACCACTGACATTCCTCATGCACTCTTGCTGATCATATGCCACCTCCCCAGGAAGATCTCTGGTACTCACCTGCCATATCTTATTGTTCTGTTCAGGAGTGGGAGGCTCCCTCAAAGCTGGGACTTGCTGGGAGGTGTTGTCAGTAGATGTTCCTGGGGCTCCACTTCCCCTATACCCCTTCCATGTGCCCACCAGCTGAATTTGTCTGGGTGTTAGTCAGCCTGAACACTACGGGTGCCAAGCCTAGTGGCATGACCCTGATCTGGGCCTCAAGTGTGAAGGTCTGAATATAGTGTCTATTTTACAAGCTGCTTACTGGACAAGGGTCCTTTGTGTTCGGATCTGGTAACACGAGCCTGGGTTATGCCTGTCAGTGTCATCCCTGACTTGGGACCATGTACCTATTGGCCACCGGGCCACCTCATTGGCTTTCTAAGTCCTAGCCTGGAGTCTCTGAGGGCCTCTGGTTCCTTGGCCCCAAGAGTGAAGTATGCAGCCATCCACTGGGCTTAGGGGCAACCAAAAATGAAGAAGAAAAGAATAACTTAAAGCATCAGGGAGGTACAGACTCAACTACCTACTCATGTTTCCTGCATGTGCTGCTGTGGTCCATCCCTCAGCATCCTTCCCGGTTCGGGTGTCAATCACCACTCTGGTTGTAGGACAGACCTTGTCCTGGGTACCACTGTGGAGGTATCTCTGGTCACACTGGGGGGAGGAGCACACATCTTCCTCTCAGCTGTTGCTGTCTGCCACCAGCTTTTATCTGAGATGGCCGGCATTCTCCAATGATGTCATTGCCTTGCGCTGGCTCCAGCTGCATAAACTGGTGGCTGATAAGCCACACGGGTGGTTTGCTTGTCTGGGGTCATTTCTCATTCGGCATACCTGTTGTGGGTAAGTATTTCCCCATTACAGCACTTCTATGAGTGTTTCCCTGGGACCACAGGGGTTCTCCATCACGGGTCTGGCCCCAGAGAAGGGGTTTCCACCCTTTTTCTCTCAGTACCCTGGGACAGAGCAGAACCAAGGGCTATCTTTCCTAGCTGAGTCGCCTTCCCACTGAGTTAAAGTCAATCTTCATCTTTTTTGTCTCTTGACCCTATGATTCTTGCTTTCTTTTCAGCCGGTGCCTCCTTTAACTGGAGAGATAGAGGATGTTCACCACTTTGGCAAGCCTATAGCTGCTGGTTAGGGTACTTTCCCTGTTGTGGAAAATGTGATTTAAAACATCCTCAGGCTGTGTGGGATCAAAAACCTAAGTTTTCTACATGGTGGGAAAATACCTTGCATGGGTGGATTGATTTCCCCTCTCAAATTGCTCCCTTCCCCTCCTACCCAATAGAAAAGATTTCTGCGATAATAGAGCCCTCCATCAGCCCTGAGTCAGATGTTTCAGTGGTGGAAGTTCACCCCCTCCACTGTGCCTATTCACACAGACTGTTGATAGGTGATTTCCTACTCAGTACTCACATGCTCAGGAGGTACCTATGGTTGCCTATTGAGGAAAAGAGAGTTCTGTAGTACTCTGGGTAGAATAGGATTGCTCTCCTAACACATGGCAAGATGAGGTGAAATGCATAGACTTATGCCTTGTACATATATTCTGTTTCTCCTGGTAGATTTGCTCCTCTCCCATGAGAAAGCATGAATTCAACCTTTTTTTTGCCTTAGGGTAGAAACAGCCATTTAACCAAGAGAAAAATAAACTGGAAACAACCAGGGTTAAATCACTCCCAGAATTCTCTCCCCTTGGGGAGTGAATGTCTATACATGCTTTGGCTTCTCTCAGAGGAGAATCTAGTCCTCCAGCCTCCTCCTCTCCCCAACTAGAAACATGGGATGTTGCTTGCTCCAGCAGACAGCAGAACACACCCTCTTCACAATCTCCTCATTGTGCTACAGAGATGCATTGTGCTACAGGCTGACCATGGGCAGTCTGGAGCAACCAGTTAGGACTGCCCTATATGCTGCTGTCTTCTGTTACCAATCACACTAAAAAAGCTTTCAGAGAATGCCAGATGTGTGCCTACCACCCTCCTTTTCCCCCTCCATTCCCTGCTCCCCCACCCAGTTATAGTATCAGCACTGCAAGCTTTCTACTCTTCAGGGTCTCAACATTCAAATGTCTGTATACATTGCTGTGTGTAAATTTTCTCTAGAACAAACCTAGAAGAATACTTCCAAATTATTTGAATTTATGAACAGAGCCTTAGGCATCTGAGCCTAAGAGTCAATGTAAGATCTAAGCCTTCATATCTGAATTTGTCTCCCCAACTATAAAATTGAAATAATAAAACTTACACACCTATTAAAAGTGGTAGACATTTGAAATATTATTTATTTCTGAGTGTTTTATTTACTGGCTTCAGCTATGTTTTTTAATATATATGTTTTACTGTAGGGATATTTTTAAATATAATTTCCTATTTTTTAAATACATAAATCTAACAAGACAGAAATGTTATGATATAGAACAATACTGACTCATTTCCCAGTATCATCATCAGGGTTGAAAACAGATTAAGAATACAAACACCTAACATTTGAGCTAACCAAGTAACCAATAGCAGTAGTAGGCTGTTATCTTCTAAGTACCTGTTTCAGACTTTGGAAGCCCTGATGGTTACATATCTACATTTCTCATCCCTTCATGCCTTGCCCTTTGCCCTTAATGTTAGTATATATGCCTTATTTTCCATTATCACAAAGCCTGTCTGTGTCCCTCTTTATCTCACAGCTTGCCTTTGCACCATTTCAGTCTCTATAGCCATTATATGGAGCAATCTTAGGTCAGAGATGGATTCTAAAGAATTTAGTAGGTATAGATTATATATTAACTGTTATTTCTCTGCATCTTATAACTTGCCAAATTACATAGATTTTCAAAGGTGAGCAAATACAGGAGACCCTCACCATTCACGGAGGATACGTTCCAGAGATCCCGGCGAATAGCAAAATCTGTAAACAGATCAGGAGTGAGGCAGCAGGAGCCCAGCGCCGGCAAGCGTGGAGCTCCTGCAGACACCACTGGCACTGGCGGCGGCAGGGTGTGGGGTGTGGGGTGTGGGAGCATGGCAAGACCATGTGGGGAGAGACCATGGGTTCAAATAGTTGCACCACATATATTCGAAATCGCGAATCTGCAAATGGTGAGTGTTTCCTGTACCCCATTCCTGAGGCAACACATCCCCCAGCCTCATTCTAATCCCTGCTTCACTATTGCCAACACTTGTGGTTTTATTGCCCATCTTTCATGGGTGGGTCTAGGATTTTGAAAAAGGCAATGTATCTGGTGCGGAGAAAAATGATAACAGATTTTTCTCTATTTAAAGAGAAACTAGAAAGTTTGCTAATATGCTAGGGGCAGTTTAAGATTGAAACAATATAATATGTTCAGTTTAAGATTGAAACAAAACAAATATAACTTTATCAGAGTATGCATTGATTTGCTATATTATATATTAAGTACAAAAATACAGTGAATTAGGCAAGTAATAATCACATCATTAGAATTAAATGTACATCATCTCTTACTCAGCTTCATAAAACAAAATATAGCCTTTTTGAGCATCTTGACTGTGCATCCCATATCTCACTAGCAGTTATTTCCACATCTGAATTCACATTCAGTATGGGCAGTCCATTGAGATGCTCTTCACTCATTGTTGAATGATGCCATGTTTTAAGTCTCTGGCAAGGTTTTTTTTGTGATATTGCTCATTGAACCATCTGTATTGTTGGGATAACAGGTATTTTCATAGTTTCATAGTTTCTAGGGTCGGAAGAGACCTGAGCAGATCATCTAGTCCAACCCCCTGCCATGGCAGGAAGAGCACTGGGGTCAAATGACCCCAGTAAGGTGGTCATCCAACCTCCTATTAAAAACCCCCAGGGTGGGAGCCTGCACCACCTCACTTGGAAGCTGGTTCCAGACTCTAGCCGCCCTGACCGTGAAGTAGCGCCTCCTGATGTCCAACTTAAACCTTCCCTCCGCCAGCTTGTGACCATTGTTCCTGGTCACTCCTTGCGGCGCTCGGGGGAACAGGGACTCCCCCAGCGCCTGCTGATCCCCCCTAACCAGTTTATAACAGGCCACAAGATCCCCCCTCAGCCTTCTCTTTTGAAGGCTGAACAGGTTCAGGTCCCGCAACCTTTCCTCATAGGACCTACCCTGCTGTCCCTTGATCATACGAGTGGCCCTCCTCTGGACCCTCTCGATGCTGTCCACATCCCTCTTAAAGTGCGGCGCCCAGAACTGGACGCAGTACTCCAGCTGCGGCCTGACCAGTGCCGCATAGAGGGGGAGGATCACCTCCTTGGACCTGCTCGAGATGCATCTGTGGATGCACGACAAGGTGCAGTTGGCCTTCCTAGCCGCCTCCCCACATTGCCGACTCATGTTCATCTTGGAGTCAATAATGACTCCCAGATCCTTTTCCACCTCCGTGCTGACAAGAGGGGAGTTCCCCAGCCTGTATGTGTGGTGCCGATTGTTCCTCCCCAGGTGCATCACCTTACACTTGTCTGTGTTAAACCCCATCCTATTCTCCTCCGCCCATCCTTGTAACCTATCCAGGTCCAACTGTAGCCTGTTGCTCCCCTCTATTGTGCCCACATCCCCCCACATCTTAGTGTCATCAGCAAACTTGAACAGGGTGCTTTGCACCCCCTCATCCAAATCACTGATGAAGATGTTGAACAGGGCGGGCCCAAGGACCGAGCCCTGTGGGACCCCACTTCCCACGTCCTTCCAGGTCGAGAAGGACCCATCCACTACCACCCTCTGGGTGCGACTCTCTAACCAGTTGGCGACCCATTGGACTGTATGGGTGTCTACGCCACAGTCCCCCAGCTTCCTAATGAGAATGGGGTGAGAGACAGTATCAAAAGCCTTCCTGAAGTCTAGGAAAACTATATCCACTGCCACCCCTGCATCCAATGATTTAGTGACCTGGTCGTAAAAGGCCACCAGGTTGGTCTGACAGGACCTGCCGCTGATGAACCCGTGCTGGTTGCCCCTGAGCATGCCGTTCCCTGCTGGCCCCTCCTGGATGTGTGCCAGAATAATTTTCTCGAACAGCTTGCCCAGGATCGAGATAAGGCTGACTGGTCTGTAATTCCCCGGGTTCTCTTTCCTCCCCTTTTTGAAGATGGGAACCACGTTGGCCCTCTTCCAGTCCTCCGGCACCTCTCCAGAGCACCACGAGTGTGGTATTTTAACAAGTGGTGACTCTGGTACCTGATACAACCAGGAGATGCAAAAAGATAACCAACAACTCATTGCTTCTCTTTTTAACAGTAATGAAGGAAGAGGTTCTTTTACTCTAAAATTTGCTAATTGGTACGCTTCATAACTCAAAAGGTAAATGTATGTTGTTCCCCACACTCAATGAATTGCTCAGCAGAATTCTAATGGCGTAGATCTGCCAGACCTCTTACAAAATAGAGGGCAGGAGAGGCATCTTCATTTTCAAGTATATGACAAACTGTGATTGCAAATATGTAAATTAGATTTTAATAAGAAAAATTAAATAGCAATTTGTGGAACATTATCATCAGCATTATTAGTATTGTTCTGTATCATTTGTAGACTTGGGCTTTTTTAAGGTAAAGAGAAAGGAAATGAGAAGTTTCTAAAGATTATGAATCCTTAGTTGTTTTTCCTTTCTTCCCTTTTATACTCAGGAAGGATTTTGGGAAGCTACTGTTTGTGAGAAGAAACTTGGTTACATCTGCAAAAGAAAGTCATTATTACAAGCTCCTGAGGAAGTAGGAATGAATGACCCGGGCAGCCAGAGAGTAAGTGTGAAGTAAATTATTAGCAGATGCATGAAGAATATTTGGCTTAGTAAGTTGGTCTCACTCTGTAGAGTAGATAATCATTGATGGTGTCTCTTGCAATAACAGCTTTTGTAAGTTTTTTACTTTCACTGCGAAAATACTTAAGGAAATCTAGTTGAAATTCATTTTTCATTTACATAAATGATCCTGATTCCCTACATCTCTTCCTCTTTGTGATGCAATCCACATCTACCATTTAGTCAGAGATCTTAGGATCTTAGTCAAACTGAAAAAGCACACAACACCCACTAAGGGTATCTTCATCTCAGTTCTCAGGTCTTCTGTTTCTTTAGAGTTTTTATTAGCAATGGGCAAATCTAAATGGTCATTAATGTATAGTGGTTACTGTACATTTAATTTAGTACTTGCATAATCAAGTACTAAATTAATGTGCAGCATCCCGAGTTACTGCACAGTAGTGCTGGCGAATGCCTTTTTAGTGATGTTACTGCACAGTAGCCTAATAATACTGCACAGTAGCATATTAGCACTGTCCATGCTATGACATACTACTGTGCAGTACTATTAGGCTGCTGCATAATTAGCGTCTCATGTAAATGTGCCAAGTAACTATAAAAAACCAAAAGCAGTTCAAAGTGAAGAAGAACTGCCTTTTCCAGCTACCTGTCCTAGATTTTTTACTTGTGGGCTCCCTGTTTGATCTTTGAATCCTATGCCTAAGTTATATGGTCTCTGTCACAGGGGCACGGCACAATATGGCCCCAAAGGGGAAAAGGGGTGCCCCAGGACCCGAAATAAGGCGGGGGAGAGAGAGAAGGGACAAAAGAAAACAACGAGTTCCTTACCAGCAGCCAACAACGCGGGAATGGCAGAAGCGGCAGTGGGACCCATGCAGCTGATTAGCCGCTTCTTTTTAAAACTGCGGCCAGCCGCGATCAATAATGATCGGAGCCGATAAAAGATGCTCTGAGGGAAGCGTTGACGATAAAAGATGCCCCGAGGGAAGAAGCCGGGGAGGAGAACTAGAGACCAGCTGGGAGGGGAGCCAAGCCTGGCTCCTTGTCCAGAGGCGAGGGAGAGGCCAGCATCCATCTGTGAGGCTGGAAGACATCTCCCAGCTGCGGGACAGAGAGCGCCGAGGGAAAAGCAGTGGATTCCCGGGTTTGCGGTGGCAGAGCTGGGCACAAGGTTCCGGGGACAGAGTCCAGGGTTGAGAAGCGCCCTGAAGAGAGGGGGACGGAGGAAGACCTGGCAGGTCAGGTGGGAGCAGCACGGGTCAGGAGGTCACCCCAGAGCCCATCCCAGCAGGGAACCTCCACTCAAGCAGCGGGAGGGACTGCAGAGTCTAGGATTCAGCCAGGTGGGACCACTCGGCGAGAGACCGAGCAAAGAGGGGAACCAGAGCATCAAGAAGCAGTCCTGAGGGATTGTTAAGAAAACACAGCACCCAGCCAGAGGGGTGCTGCAGGGGAAATTAAGCAAGGAGAGGCTTCTCTCTGGACAGAGAGTCCAGACTTTGATTTTGTAAGCCAGAGAGACTTGCAGGCACTGTTTTTCATTTGGGAGTTTTGGGCAGAGTAGCCTACGGCCAGAGGCCCAGGAGGGGAACCGCAGAAAGATTCCCGACCCACAGAGTTTAGAGTCGAGCCAAACCAATGGAGTCGCTACCAACTGTCTCTTGGCACCACAAGGCGAGGGATGGGCCCCGGGAATTGTAAGCAACTCAGCGTGGCTGGGTCTTAGGGCAAGGTGTAGGAGAGGGCAGAGCCTCACAGAAGTTCAGCACCCCTGAGAGTCCCAACCCCGGATGAGGTAGTAGTCGGCCTCTCCACTGAACGTTCCAGCAAAGTCGTGGCGGGCAAGATAGGGGCAGAAACTACCGTCAAGATCACATCCGGAACAGACCATTCCAGGGACAAAGTGGCCAGCAGGCCCATACGCCAGAGGCTGAGCAGCGCGAGACCTCATGTTCAAGGCCGGCCGGTTGCAGTCTCTAACTGGCAAGCTTAGTCATTGGGATACAAAAACCCACTTCTTTAGCCTATGCTAATAAACCCCTGTGATAGAGGAGTGAATTTATTTCTACAAACAATCCTGGGCTGTATTGCTCTTACATCAGAGGGGTTTAAACCAGGGGTGGGCAATTATTTGGGCCCACAGCCCACATAGGGAGTTTTGGTGAAGTGTTATGGGATGGGACCTCCCACCCCTGCCACAATTCACCAAAACTCCCTAAGTGGCCCTGGGCATGGGGAGACTCACCAAGACCTGTGCAGGAAGGGTGTGTGGCAGGGTGGAAGGGGTGGGACTGTGGGCAGGCAGGGAGCTGCATCTGGGGTTGTGTCCATGGCAACTGGGCTGTGACAGTGTGGGGCCAGGGCCAGGACAGAGCTGCGATCCACTCCCTGCATGCCCATTGAAGCCATGCCCATCACACGGCCATACAGAATCTGCACAGGTCCTGCCCCCAGCTCTCTGTATGGGGCAGATGGGCCAGGGTGCCCAAGCAGTGAGGCTGGGTTTGGTAGTAGCAGCAGCTGGAATGAACCACCACTTCTGGGGCTGCCAGGCACCCCAGCCCCACTGCAGGCCTGGGTGGAGTGGGCGGAGGGGCAGGATTGGCCACATGCACTATAGCATGGCCTGCCTCCTGCACCTGGTTGGGCAGGACCAAGGGATCCACCATGGGCTAGAAAAAATTCCTCAGTTGGACATATTTTGCCTACCTCTGGCTTAAACCTTAACACTTATAAGCTACTGATGTCAGGCATCAGTGTTCTATTGGATATCAGAATATTTTTTCATTCTAAGGATCTAGAACCCATAACACTTAGCTACATATTTCAAATTCCCCTCTAAATAAGAGCAGAGACAGTCCCTTTTTCTTCCAAAGACTGCATCACTAACCTTGTAAATAACTGGAAGGCCATATTTGTCCTCAAAGTCAACATTGAATGCCAAGCATCATAAAAGATAGGATGAGAATGCAGGTCAGAAGCAAGCAATTTGGGGCAAAAGTCCAGTATCATCCTCTCAGTAATAAGAAGGCTGATCTCTGTATGAGCAGGGAGCCTTCTTTGTTACTTTACAACTCAGCTCATGAGTCACGATTAAATTCCATTCTTGTTTCTCAGTGTAGCTTCAACAATGGATTTCACATTAATGTATGATAACTGTATCTATATATATCTATAGCTATCTATTTATCTGTCTGTCTGTCTAAATATATATGCCTATATTAAAGGGCAAAGCAAACAATACTTCCCAGTGTATTAAGAAGTTGTGTGTGTTTGCCTAATGTTTGCTGCAGGGCTGGAAAAGACATGGCTTTCATTGTTACTTGGTTGGACACACATTTCTAATATTCTCAGAAGCAAATGAGGCGTGTCAAAGGAGCTATGGCTACCTAGTTACTATGGAAGACAGGTATGGAAAAAGGCTTTTTAAATCAACTTTTAATTATTCAGAATATACAGTAACATATCTAAATCAACCATTTTAACATCTTCTCCATTTGGAATGATTTCATTAAAATTATAAGCTTGAAGCAGAGAAGGGTTAAGACTAAATCTTTAAAATGTTGTAAAACATGTATGTTCTTTCCCAGAAATGACCAAGCCTACCTCACTAGTTTGGTTGGGCTGAGTTGTGAAAAATATTTCTGGATTGGTCTCTCAGATGTAGAAGAACAGAGGACATTCAAGTGGGCCAATGGTGAAGTTGTTTTGTTCACTCATTGGAACTCAGGAATGCCTGGTAAGCACGTCACTACCATATAATCTGTGATGTTCATGGTTTGACTAACATCTCACAAGTTTCCAAATGCTGTCCTCTGAGGGGCTAGACAGGATTCAGTTAGGCGTCATCTCATATCCTCATACAGGAAGGTAAATGAGGCACAAGAAGTGAGCTAGCCATCTTAACTTACCTGGTGCAAGGGAATAATGTAGCAAGTTGGTATTCCTCATTCTGAAACTGTGCAAACAGGGGCTCTGGTGGTCTAAGATAAATACTGGGTAGTGGCCGGGCTGGAGGTGTTTCATGGTCTCAGCCAATCCACAATTTTAACACAGTAGTTAGTGGCTGACAATAGTACACCAGACTGTGAAAAACTGTTGTTGGATGTTGTTGGCATCTTGGGCAGCAGTGACCATGAGATGATCGAGTTCAGGATCCTGACAAAAGGAAGAAAGGAGAGCAGCAGAGTATGGACCCTGGACTTCAAAAAAACAGACTTTGACTCCCTCAGGGTACTGATGGGCAGGATCACCTAGGAGGACAGTCTGAGGAGGAAAGGAGTCCAGGAGAGCTGGCTGTATTTTAAAGAAACGTTACTGAGGGTGCAGGAACAAATGATCCCAATGCACAGGAAGAATAGCAAATATGGCAGGTGATCAGCTTGCTTTAGCAGATAACTCTTTGGCAAGGGACTTGAAGAGTAACAAGAACTGTTTCTACAGTGGCAACAAGAAGAAGGTCAGGGAAAGTATGGGTCCCTGACTGAATGGGGAAAGCAACCTAGTGATAGATGATGAGGAAAAGGCTGAAGTTCTCAATGTCTTTTTTTACCTCAGTTTTCACATGCAAGATCACTTCCCAGACTACTGCACCTGGCAATGCAGTTTCGGCAGAAGGTGAGCAACCCTTAGTGGTGAAAGAACAAGTTAGGAACTATTTAGAAAAGCTAGATGTGTACAAGTCCATGGGGCCAGATGCAACACATCTGAGGGTGCTGAGGGAGTTGGCTAATGTGATTGAAGAACCACTGGCCATTATCATTGAAAACTCATGTTGATAAGTACTGAATATTTGGAAAAGGGCAAATATATTGCCCATCTTTAAGAAAAAAAATAAAGGAACAGGTCAGTCTTGCCTCAGTTCCTGGAAAAATCATGGTATGGGTCCTCAAGGAATCCATTTCTAAGCACTTGGAGGGGAAGAAAGTGATCAAGAATAGTCATTCACCGAGGGCAAGTCATACATGACCAATCTGATTGCCTTCTATGATGCGATGACTGGGCCTATGGCTGTGGGGACAGCAGTGGACATGATATACCTTGAATTTAGCAAGACTTTTGATATGGTCTCTGTCACAGGGGCACTGAGGTGCCCTGTTCCTAGGAAAGAATATGGGCAGCTGCCAATCAACAGGGCAGCTCAGGTGACGGTTGCTGGGGCAACCGTGCTGGTCAGGTGACCAGGAGGGGGCAGGGCCGGGCCTTTATAAACAGCCCAGGCTGAAGCCTAGCTGGCAGTTCCCTTCTGGCAGCCTGAGATGCAGGAGCTCTGCAGTAGAGGCAAGCAGAGCAGAGATGAGCAGTGCAACCTGATCACCGAAGGGGCTGCATCATGAAGTAAGGCTGGAGGGAATCCTGATTGTGAAGCTTGAAGGTGGAACATAGTGGCAGGGCACTTAAGATATAGCCAGGAGACTTATTTTCGGTTATACCCCTGGGCTCAGGGCTTTAAGTTTCTTGTTTGTTATTGCTACAGACCGGAGGACCAGGTGAGGTTGTAGGGGTGCGAGGAGGCCTCGCGGGAGCGCCCCAGCAATCTGGGGGTCCCTGGTGCCCTGCGGGGTACCGTGAGCAGTGCCGGGTAGGCACAGCTGTTCGCGCCAGTGTGGCACTGTGTTTAGGGGTGTGTTATCCCCAGCCCTGTGTGGGCAATAGGCGGAGAAGCCTAAGTAGGGCGAATGACCCTGACAGTGGTCTAGGGGGCCAGGCATGGCTGGGGCCACCTGAGCCCCAACCAGGAGAAGTACTGGAGAAGCCCCGAAAGGGGAATAAGCTTATTGAGAGACCCTGACAATGGTCTAGGGGGCCAGGCATGGCTACGGCCACCTGAGCCCCAACCGGGAAAAATACTGGAGAAGCCCCGGAAGGGGAATAAGTCTATTGAGAAGCCCAGTGAGGGCTAAGAGTGCCTAAGTTCGAAGAGACTGGCCCGATAGGACACAGTCTGTAAGAGAGAAGCCCAAGAGAGGGCGTGAAGCCCCAGAAGCGGGGCATAGGTACTGAGGGAAGCCCCAGGAGTGGGCATACGTACTGAGAGAGGCCCCAGGAGTGGGCATATGTATGTGGAGAGGCCCCAGGAGGGGCGAGTATATTGAGCAGACCCCAGGAGCGGGGCGGATATAATTAGCAGGCCCGAGAGGGCTAGCGAATAGAGGGGTGCCTGTTGCGTGACGAGCCCAGGGGTGCCGGTTGCGTGACAAGCCCCAGGGGCGCCGGTGAAGGGGTGCCGGTTGCATGACAAGCCCCAGGGGGTGCCAGGCAGAGCGCATACAGGAATCTGACCAGATAATGTCCAGTAGATCTGCGAGGCTTGGGGCGTGCTAAAGGGGACGTTGGAGAAACGCATAGCCCATAAGGCTGGGGGTGCATCAGGTCGCCCCATACGGAATAGGGGCCAGTACAAATATAGCACCGTGCTCAAGGGGATCGAAGGCAGCCTCCCACCTAAAACTATAAACCAGCAAGACGTGGCAGGTGAGAAAAGAGGGTGCTGGATCGCCTACTTGGCATGGCAGGGGGCGCTAGGGGGATCACGGCCGCCCCTAGGCCCTACTCCATGACAGTCTCCCACAGCATTCTTGCAAGCAAGTTAAGGAAGTATGGGCTAGATGAATGGACTGTAAGGTAGATAAAATGCTGGGTGGATTGGGCTTGATGGGTAGTGGTAAATGTTTCAAGGTCTAGTTGGCAGCTGGTATCAAGTAGAGTGCCCCAGGGCTCAGTCCTGGGGCTAGTTTTGTTCAATATCTTCATTAATGATCTGGAAGATGGGATGGATTGCACCCTCAGCAAGTCCGCGGATGACAGCAAGCTGGGGGGACTAGTAGGTATGCTGAAGTGTAGGGCTAGGATTCAGAGTGACCTAGACAAATTGGGGGATTGGGCCAAAAGAAATATCATGAGGTTCAATAAGGACAAATGCTAGGTCCTACATTTAGGATGGAAGAATCCTATGCACCAGTACAGGCTGTGGACCAACTGGCTAAGCAGCAGCACTACAGAAAAGCACCCTGGGGGTTATAGTGGACAGTGGGACTGTACACAATTTTACCAGCTATTTCATTTTGACACAGTTTCGACTTGTTTTGAGCTCAAAACAGCAAAATCAAAATGAAACGAAGGGCTTCAAAAAAGCCTTGAAATGAAATGAGGGCAGTCAAAATGTTTCAAAACTTTTGAAGCAGTTCATGTTTCGAAGTTGAAGATGGGCTTGCCTTCAGGGGAACAGAAAGTAAGGACAGGGAGAGGGAAGTGGGGGGGAAGGAGTGCTCTGATATTGACTATGACAGTTTGGCTGCCTGAGATGCTGCTGGTGCTACTGTGCTGCTTACTAAGTTATTACCTGTTGTCATTTAAAGTGGTGGACCAGAACAAGGCTGTAGGGCAGGAGGAGACCTCATTGGGGCTCACTACCATGTCATGTAGAGGCCCTGGTGCCAGTGAGATTGTGCCTTAACACACATGCAGTCACGCATCATTAGTTTTGTTTCTCAGCAGCTTGAGGTGCAGTTTCCCAGAAACCCCTGCACCTATTTCCTTGAAAACTGGCAGACTTCATGGCCTCCATAGGGGCTACCATGCATGCAGTTTTCACCCTGCTGTGCCATGTCACATGCATGTGTTAAGAGCTTTGCTTGTCAGCAGCTTGAGGTGTGATTTCCCAGGAACCCCAGCACCTATCTCCTTGAAACTTGGCAGGCTTTGTGGCCTCATTAGGGGCTACTACGACTGCTGTTTTTATCCCCCTGTGCTTTAACACTTTTATAAGTGACATGAGTTTTGCTTTCAAGACTTTGAGGTGCAGTTTCCCAGAAACCCCTGTACCCATCTCCTTAGCAGGCTTCATGCCCTTAGAGGGGGCTATCATCCCTGCTACTTTCATCCAAATATGCCCATAGGCTATAATGGGGAAGCATGAAACTGCCTATAACTTTGTCATTCATTGGCATATTTGGATGAAAGTAGCAGGGATGATAGCCCCCTTTAAGGGCATGAAGCCTGCTAAGGAGATAAGTACACAAAGTTAAAACAAAGCAAAACAGAACAGTGCTTTCAAAATGAAATGAAACTGAAAGTGAAACACTCTCCTGTCAAAACAGCAAAATGGAAATTGAAACAAAATGGTGCTGTTTCGCACAGCCCTTGTGGACAATAAGCTGGATGTGAGTCAACAAGTCTAACAGAATACTGGTCTGCATTAATAGGAGTGTTGCCAGCAGATCAAGGGAAGTAATTATCCTACTCTATTCTGCACTGAGCAGGCCACATCTGGAGTACTGTGTCTAGTTTTGGACCCTGTCACGGGGCGGGGTATTACGAGCGGCCGTGATGTCTTCTAGCGCCCCCCCCACCATGCCAAGTGGGTATAAAACGCACCCTCATTCTCGCCCACCACGTCTTTGCTGGTAATATTGTTAAAGGGAGGCTGCCCTTTCTTTTCCCCTTGGCACAATCCCCAGGTATACTCCCGCCTGTACCCCATCTACCGATACTCCTGGGCACTCCCGCCACGGGGCTATATGTGGCTCCTACCACCCCTAATATCATGTTCCAAACCTCTCAGATGTACCAGATGTTATTGAGTCAGTTCCTATTGCCCGCGCCCTCGCAGACGCCCTCCGGGCTTATCTTCCTCGTGGCCCACACCAGGGCCCTTCTCTGTACCCTTGCCCTCTCTGGGGCTTAACATAAGACGCCCGCCTTCCCTGGGGCTCAATGCAATACTCCTGCCCCCTCTGGGCTTCTATTCTTGTGCGCTCCCTGTGCTAGTTGCATATGCACCCTCATGGGCACTCCATGGCTTCTCCCGCGGCTGCTGACCACTCTGGGGCCTTTTCCCCGCGGTCACTGTGTGATTGACCGCACTGGGGCTTCTCTCGCGCCCACGCCCGCACTGGGGCTTCTTGCCTGTGCCCACGCCTGCACTGGGGCTTCTTGCCTGCGCCCACACTGGGCTCCTCCCAATATTGCCCACACTGGGGTTGGGGTTGGGACACCCCAAAACACAGCACCCTCTCTGGTGCCAGGAACCCCCACATTACTGGGGAGCTCCTATGAGGCTTCCTCCAACCCCTTATAGCCTCACCCGGTCCTCCGGTCTAATAACAAAGCAAAACCATAAGCCAATCAGCTGCAACACAAAAACCAAGCCTCCTGGCTAAAACGCAAGCTCTAGCCCTCTGGCTAGACCTCACTCAAACCCCTCCCAAGAGTTTTCTCCTCACCCAGGAGCTGTTTCAGGCCCTTGGGCTTCTATAGGCTGCAATGCTTACACAGAGCTCCCACTCCATCGGCTGCCAGAGGAGAACTGCCTCCCTGGCCTTAGCCTGGCCTACATTTATATAGTTCAGGCCCTGCCCCCTTCTGGTCAGCTGACCAACTGTGGTTGCCCCGGCAACCATCACCTGTATCTCTTCCTAGGAGCAGGGCACCAAAGTGCCCCTGCAACAGACCCCCACTACAGAAAGGATGTGGACAAGTTGGAGAGAGTCCAGTGGAGGGCAACAAAAATGGTTAGGGGGCTGGGGGACATGACTTGTGAGGAGAGGTTGAGAGAACTGGGTTGATTTAGTCTGCAGAAGAGAAGACTGAGGCAGAATTTAATAGCAGCCTTCAACTACCTAAACAGAGGTTCCAAAGAGGATTGAGCTAGATTGTTCTCAGTGGTGGCAGATGACTGAACAAGGTGCAATGGTTTTAAGCTGCAGCAAAGGAAGTTTAGTCTGGATATTGAGAAAAAACCTTCTTACTAGGAAGGTGGTGAATTCAATGTCATTTTGTCATGAGATCTCACTCGTACAGAAAAAAGTAATTAGCCTTGTTCAATTTTTTAGTTTTCTCCCTTTTGACAATGATGAGCTCAAGTGATTTGTTAAATTGTACCTTTGCAGCTGTTCTGCATATTCATAGATCACATGTCCCTAACTGCAGTAGACTTTTCCACCCTTCAGCTATTAAAATTAATTTGATTTGAAGCGGAAGTCTTACTTTTTTGACAGCAAAGCCCTAAATTCAGAATAAAACATAAAAAAGACTATGCATTTGTCATTTACATATTTTTAATTTCTTATATGAATCACTAAGGAAGAGAACCAGGCTGTGTTGCCATGGTAACTGGAATCGCACCTGGATTATGGGATGTTCTTAACTGTGAGAAGGCAGCAAAATTTCTCTGCAAGCAGTGGGCTGAAGGAGTGACCTCTCCTTCGATTGCAGCAACAGCTTCTGATGCCCCATGTCCTGGGGGCTGGGAATTAGCCTCTTATACTAGCTTCTGCTTCAAAGTAAGTATTAAAGTTCAGTGATTCATTTACTATTCCTTGTCCACTGCATGTACTGAAGGGTCAGTGCTCCTCTCAGTTACCCAATAATGTTTTGTATACCTGAAGGATGTCTTTCTAGGCAGTTTTTTTCTTTATAGTATTGTCAACCCTATTACTCAAAATTGTGAGTCAAACTGCCAAACTATAAAGAGAATTGGTTAAAAAAATCACTAGAGTTTATAATATATATATACACATTGGGCTCTCTTAGTGCCTCATTTCTAGACATTCTTGCTAACCCTGAAGGCTAGAAGCTTTTTTTTTTTTAAATTACAGCTTAGGTGCTCTCTTTCTAATTGCCTTCAAGGGTTGTGGTTTTTAGAAAAATACCAACTGTCAAGAGACTCATGATAAAAATCACAAAACCTGGTTAGACTATTTCCATAAGAAAAAGATGAAAAGTCATGGGAACTTGGCACCTTTCCAGACTTTTTGACAGCACATATGATGTATACCAAAAACCCAGTTTCATTTTCAGAATTTTGATGGCACCTAGGCAACTAGGAAAAGCACTTTCTTTGTGTGTCCATGTTAAAACAACAGAAACCAAAACTAGAAAGCCAGACCCGCCCAATAAAAGCTCCTGCAGCATAATCTCTTCACCCTGGATATAAAACATGCTAGGCATGGGGCTATTCCTTTAAGGCACTGAACACCATTGCTGTAATCATAGAAAAGCATATGTGGAAATATATATAGGCTTAAAACAAACGCTTGCTTAAGTGATCAGGCCTTTGTAGGATTTAGCTTTATGTCCCTATTTCCTCATTTCTCCCATTAATTAGATCAGTACTTCATCCATTTCTCAAAAATCTCTTACTTTTCACCCTGGGGTATTTAACATCATGCTATTTTTCCTCCCCCTCAGTAATTAAAATTCCCATTACCATATGAACTAGCTTTTATCCAAATGTACATGGCAACAGTTTTGAGTCTCTCCACTCTCCACTGGTATTTAAACAGCTCAGTGGAAACGGCATGCCATAATCCAGGTTATAAGTGTAAATATGCATGTAATTTGCCAGGTTGTTTAAAATAATAGCTGCAAATATTTTACCTGATTTTTATCACATCAGCAAGGTCTTTCACACTAGGTTATTATGAAATATTTCCTCATTAGTTTTTTATAGGAGTGGGAAACTGAAGGAAAACCTGGTTTGAAGCTGAAGAATTTTGTAGAGAAATAGAAGGGAATCTGCTCAGCTTTCACAGCAGAGAGGAACAGTTTCTAATATGGAAATTGGCGCTGTGAGTATCTGTAAAAAGTTGCTTCTGCCATTTTAATGATATGTTTATTTAGAATTATCAAATGTACTCTTGTGTCTACAGCTGGATGCATAAGGGATTTTTATTTTGGTGGCTGCAAAGATTGGGAATAATTGGTTTGGGTTCAAACAAAATAGAATTGTTGTTATTTTTCAGCAAAACAACCAAGATTGTTTTAACTCTCTCTCTTCCCTCTCCCCACCAAAAGTTTTTTTTTTTTTTACTTAAAGATGTTTTGTCTCATGTTGGAGTCTTTATAACCACCTTATTTAACTTATCATTTTTTCATTAGGTTTAAACAAAAATCTAAAGATGAAAAGTTTCACTTAAACATGTTGAAACAAATCCTTTTAGCAATTCCAAAATTAGTTTATTTGAAAAATGTCAAAATTAAGTATGTTGACTTTTAAAAAAAAATCTCCCACTTTTTGGCCATTAAATTTGTCTGAAATTCGCAAATAGTTTCATCTGTTTCAAATGGCATTTTTCAGTGAATTTGCTATTCATCATTTTTTCCCTCAGCTCTAGTCACTATTTCTGAAATAGTGTATTTAAAGGTAAAATATGGTTATTATATTTGTAACCCAATTTATTTTTAATTGCCATATCTAAAAATGGGTTCAAGACTTTAGGCTGAAGTGGAGTTTCATAATTTGGGTACCAGATTAGCCCACAAAAATATGAGATAGGGAAGTTGTTTTAAAAAGAAAAGAACTTCTTCTAGATAGGGCTTTAAACTAAGATTGTCGAGGGATGGGTTAACAAAGACTGGACTGGAGCTTGCCTCGGCACCAACATACAAGAAAGCTCTGTAGATAGGGACACTAGAAGAGTCACTTCCATGGGAGTGGAAGGAGTAGTTTTCCATCAGCATGACAGGAAGTTGAGAGCCTCATTAGGAGGACTCAGATACCTGTACACTAATGCCAGAAGCACTGGGAACAAGCAATTGGAACTAGCCCTCCTACTCTCCAGTGGGCATTTCGATCTAGTAGGGATTATGGAGACCTGGTGGGACTCCTTACATGATTGGAGTGTAGCCATAAATGGCTACACCCTGCATAGAAGGGACTTAGTAGTGTGGCTGTCTATGTGAAGGAACAGTACACCTTCTTGGAGGCTGACATTGGCTCCAAAGAAGAACGACTCAAAACCCTTTGGGTCAAACTGCAGGTGGGGGGAGAGACCTAACTGTAGGTGTGTACTACAGAACAGTAAACCAAGGGGAGGAACTTGATCTATAGTTTGCCTGAGAACTGATAGAGGCTTCACATGCACAGGACATGGTCATTATGGGTGATTTCAATTACCTGGACATCTCTTGGGATGAACACTCAAATGTTCAGCCAAGTCAGGTCATCTGTGTTCCTTTCTGACCTGCGCTGAAGAGATTTTTTTTACTCAGGAGGTGCAAGGGCCAACCAGAGGTAATGCTCTTCTAGACTTGGTCCTGGCTAAAGGAGATGACTTGGTGACTGACTTAAACTTAGAGGGCAGCCTGGGCTACAGTGACCATGGAACCATCATGCTCACTGTCCATCACAAGGCAGACATTTTAGATAGCAGGACTGAAGTTTTGTTGGACTTCAAAAATGCAAATTTCAGCAAGATCAGGTCACTAGTAGGGGAAGTGCTGAAGGACCAGGGACCAAAGGCAAAAGGACTACATGAAGAATGGTCATTCCTGAAGGACATGATCCTTGAAACGCAAAGGAAGTCCATTTCCACATGGAGGAAAGGTATCAAAAGGGCTGGGAAGCCCTCTTGGCTAAACAGGGAAATCATGGTCCTCTTAAGAAAGAAGAAAGAGATGTACAAACAATGAAAGCTTGGGGCGTGTCCCAAGAAAGGCTATACAACAATGGCCTGCACTTGTAGGGAACAGATTAGAAGGGCTATGGTGGCAACTGAACTAAAATTAGCAATGGGGATCAAGGACAACAAGAAGTCCTTCTTTAGGTATGTAGGAAACAGGAAGAAAACAAATGGGAGTCTGGGACCACTGCTCAACAACTCAGGACAGCTGGTTACCAGTGCTCAGGAGAAAACTGAATTCCTGAATGACTACTTTGCTTCGGTCTTTCACAGGGCCAAAGGGGAAAACATGCCAGATGGAGTACAGAAGGAGCAGGGTAGGAATGACTGCCTTCCTACAATTGCCAAAGAACTGGTATGTGACCAAGTAAAAAAATTAGACATGTATAAATCAGCAGGCCTGGATGAACTTCATCCAAGAATGCTGAAGGAGCTGGCTGAAATCATCGTGGAACCCCTGGCAATGCTATTGCAAAATTTGTGGCACTCTGGAGAGGTCCCTGAGGACTGGAAGGGTGCCAATGTTGTGCCCATCTTCAAGAAAGGGAGGAGGGAGGACTCAGGTAACTAGAGGCCAATTAGCCTAACTTCTATCCCAGGAAAAATCCTGGAAAAATTCACCAAAGAGTCTATATGCGATAGGCTTGCAGAAGGTAGGATTCCGGATGGCGGCCAGCATGGCTTCATCATGGGCAGGTCTTGTGTTACCAACCTCATCTCCTTTTATGATCAGGTAACTTGCCACCTGGATAAGAGAGAGGAGGTTGACATTGTATACCTTGACTTCCAAAAACCTTTTGATCAGGTATCCCACAGTGTTCTCATGAAAAGATTAGAAGATTGTGGGCTTAACTGAGAGACAGGTGGGTAGGAAGCTGGCTATGGGGTAGGGCCCAGAAAGTTCTACTGAACAGATGTGTGTCATCTTGGCAAGAAGTGGCCAGCGATGTCCCTTAGGGGTCAGTGCTTGGTCCAGTGCTTTTTAACTTCTTCATCAATGATTTGGATGTGGGAGTGAGAGCTCACTGGCCAAGTATGTGGATGACACCAAGTTATGAGGAAGCGTGATCACACTTGAAGATAGGTTGCAGATACAGGCGGACCTAGACAGGTTGGCAAGTTGGGTGGATCAGAACCAAGTGAGGTTTAACATCGAGAAATATAAAGTGCTCCACCTAGGAATGAGCAATCCCCTGCACACCTACAGGCTTGGCAATGCCAATCTGACCAGCACTATGAATAAAAGAGACTTGGAAGTAATAAATGACTACAGTATGAATATGAACCTGCAGTGCAATGCTGTAGGCAGCAGAGCAAATAATACTCTGGTGTGCATCAATCGATGTATCTCAAGTAAAACCAAGGAACCGATTCTTCCACCCTACTTGGCATTGCTGAGACTGCAGTTCAGCGGGGACGTGGAAAAGCTTGAGAGAGTACAGAGAAGGGTCAACCATATGATCAGAGACTTGTACAGCAAGCCATACAAGTTAAGGCTGGGACTCTTCAGCCTAAAGAAAAGAAGGCTGAGAGGGGATTTGGTAGCAGCTTACCACTACATCAGGGGCGAACATCAAGGGCTCGGTGAACAACTGGTCATGAGGGCACCCTAGGGGAAAAATAGGAGTAATGGTCACAAACTCCTGGAAGACTATTTCAGGCTCAGCATTAGAAAAAACTTCTTCACAGCTAGGGTGTCCAGACTGTGGAATAAGCTCCCTCCAGAGGTGATGCTATCGCCTACCCTGGAAATCTTCAAGAGGAGACTGGACAATCACCTTGCTGGGGTTACTTGACCCCAGTTGTCTTTCCTGTTTGGTATGGGAGGCTGGACTCAATGATCTTTTGAGGTCCCTTCCAGCCTACATTCTATGAAAATCAGACAGTTAATGGCTGATTTCAGCCTGCTACAAAAATGCTATTGTGAAATTTCAAAGTCTGTTGTTTCCCAGTGATCTGATATAAATGGGTTTATTGTTGTGTAAAAAGGCAGTTTAGAAATGCATATTTAGTAGATATATTATATATAAGAGGCTCTCTGGATTAAACTATGCCCTCCTGGTTGAGTGGCTATACACTAAATGGTGCAATGAGGCCCCCATTTCAGTTGTGAGCTCTATGTGCTATTGTATTAGAAATAGAATACTGTACAATAAATAATATGAAAGAAACCTGGATTACAGAAAGGGAACAAGATTTTTAATTAACAGGCCCTCTGTATCAACTGAGCCTGCATCGAACCAAAAGTAGGTCAGGCTTGAGTGACAGGCCTGCAGGTCGCACAGAGGACACATGCTAGGCCTGTTTCCATGGCGCATGCTTATCACAGCCAATTCATTTCTCCACTCCTGTATTGCCAGCATACATGTGAAATTTTCCATGACAGTTAGGACCATTCTAGAAATCAACTGGGGTTGAGAGGAAGTTAGGAATAAATAAGCAGCTTCCTAACAGCTTAAAACTGCCTGACTCCTGAAGTCTCCTGGACAGAAAGATCATTCTCAAACACTGAGAGGCATTGCATTTGCACACTGAACCCATTACCCCAATGGGAAAAATCCATGCTATTTTACTAATGACTCATGACAAATATGTCCTCAGGCCATTGGCTTTCAAGTAGCAGCTTGAGACAGTTTCATAGTTTCTAGGGTTGGAAGAGACCTGAGCAGATCATCGAGTCCAACCCCCTGCCATGGCAGGAAAGAGTACTGGGGTTAAATGACCTCGCCAAGGTGTTAATCTAGCCTTCTCTTAAAGCCCCCCAGGGTAGGAGCCAGCACCACTTCTCTTGGAAGTTGGTTCCAGATCCTAGCCGCCCTGACCGTGAAGTAGCGCCTCCTGATATCTAGCCTAAATCTACCCTCTGCCAGCTTGTGACTGTTATTTCTTGTCACTCCTGGTAGTGCTCGGGGGAACAGCGACTCATTAGTTCTCTGGTATGAGGTAATTCGTCTAGAAAATTCTGTCTGTCAAGCAACCTAATTGGCCAAGGGGTTTCTTTAAAGAGGTTAGTGAGCCCCTCCCTCGGGGGAGATCCGCTTGAACTGAAGACAGAGCCTGGACTCCCCCAATGCCTGCTGGTCCCCTCTGACTAGTTTGTAACAGGCCACTAGATCCCCCCTCAGCCTTCTCTTCTGGAGGCTGAACAGGTTCAGGTCCCGTAGCCTCTCCTCGTTGGGCCTGCCCTGCTGTCCCCTGATCATGCGAGTGGCCCTCCTCTGGACCCTCTCCATGTTGTCCACATCCCTCCTGAAATGCGGCATCCAGAACTGAACACAGTACTCCAGCTGTGACCTGACCAGTGCCGCATAGAGGGGGAACATCACCTCCTTGGACCTGCTTGAGATGCATCTGTGGATGCATGACAAGGAACAGGTGGTCTTCCTGACTGCATCCCCACACTGCCGGCCCGTGTTCAACTTGGCATCAGTGATGACTCCAAGATCCTTTTCTGCCTCTGTACTGATGAGAAGGGAATTCCCCAGCCTGTAGATATGGTGTTGGTTCTCCCTCCCCAGGTGCATCACCTTCATAAATTTCATAGACATTAGGGCTGGAAGGGACCTCGGAAGATCATCGAGTCCAGCTCCCTGCCAAAAGGGCAGGAAGTCAGCTGGGGTCATAGGATCCCAGCAAGATAAGCATCCAATTTGCTCCTGAAGGTGTTCAATGTAGGTGCTTGAACCACCTCCGATGGATATGCGCCAGAATAATTTTCTCAAAAAGCTTGCCCAGGATTGAGGTGAGACTAACTGACCTACAGTTTCCCACATCCTCCTTCCTCCCCTTTTTGAAGATGGGAACCACGTTGGCCCTCTTCCAGTCCTCTGGCACCACACCAAAGCACCATGAGTCAGTTTGTTTTAATCTTGAATTACCTATTAGGAATAACAACGACAATAGCAATAACAATAATCATGATAGTAATAAAAACACCTGAGGCTCCAAGTATGGATTAGTGTTCAATCATTTTGTTGTTACTACAGAGAAACAATAAAATTCTGCCCTCAGTTTCTGGATTTTTTTGTATTTAACTCTATAGTTTGGCCTGAGTATGACTGAGGAATTTTAATAGTCAAATAGTATGAGAAATACTTATTTCCTGAAGACTGGCATATACACTTTTATAAACTGGTACATTTTGTTATAAGAGATCATTATTCTCATATGTATGGCAGCCTTACCAGAAGAACTGAGGCATAAATAAAGTGGGAGCCCATCAAGGGCAATGATACTGGGACACAATGACTGGACCTCCTTCATCCGTGCTTTTACAGGCCTCTAAACCAATATCATGTGCAATGTCTAGCAATTTTAACAATGCAAAGCACCTATCACCTCATTTTAACTGTCTAGGGCACTCTGACTTCTTTCCAGTGGTGAATCTCCCCAATCAAGTTAAAATAATATTTAGATTGATTCAGCCTATCTTCAAATCATTCAGCATAGCACATAGCAACACTGATGGTGGATTTTTGGGAAGTATTCATGTCTGAGATTTTACTTTTTTTTTTACAGGTAGACAATAAACCATATGGTAACCATTAGTAGTATGGAGCAAACTATATTACAGAGATATTGTAACTGATTCTTGACTAAACCTTACAAGGCCAAGAAAGTTAGAGTTTGGGTTACACTAAAAAAAAATCTAGATATGTTAAGGTACGGAGATACATATCTAATGCTCTTGAATAACCTTAGTGCCAACCTATATTGGCATTTTAAAGAGAAATATGAAAAAAATCAAAGTTTTAAAAAATCAGATTTATCTTATCTGTTTTCTGTTCCTTATTCTTTGTGTTTCTGTTCCTCATTCTTTTTGTTGCTAATGCTGATTCATAACATTTTCCCACTAAGCAGAGCAAATAAGGAATTGGGAAAGGTAATAGCATAAATAGTGACCCATATGCAAACCCCTCCCCCAATCAAACAAAAACCAACCAACTAAACAAAGAAAAAAACCCCACAAGACATTCAAAACACAATGGCATCTATGGAATCTAAGAAGCTATAGCTGGACCTGAACTAAGAGATGAATTAGCTTCCCCCTTCTGGCCTACCTCACAACAGAATTGCAGTTCTACATCAATCTGTTCCTCATAAATTCTTCTTATTTGTCAAACCTTGGCTTGCCTCCTGGCTGTTCTGCTCTGCCAGTGTTCCCACACTGTACATTTTTTAGTTTCAAAATCACTCCAGCTTTTTCCATGCAACCCTTAATATTTTGCACAAACTTCCTACACTCATCACAAAATGCCTATTCCTCTCTCTCTAATGTCCTCATGAATAAAAACCTGGAGCACAAGGGGAAAGGGATGGTAGGACTGAGACACTGAGTAGGGACACTTCATGGAAGGGCTTAACTAACCTACAGGCTGTCCTGGGGTGGGCACCCAGGATGGATGTTACCAAAGATACCCTTTGGTATTGTTCCTTGGCAGGGACAAAGACAGGAAAATGGTGGGAAAGAGTGGTATTGCATTGCTTATTCTAATTTTTTTTTTTATAGAATTATATGGCTCCTTGGGGGGAAGGGGAAGATGAATGTTTTTTTGACTCCTGTAAGAGAGAGGAATGTAGACTTGGAAGGGAAAATGGAAGTGGGGAGGGACTCCCCTTAGTGTAAGGAAGGGGAATGGGTGGAGTAGGACAGCCATGCCACCTCTGCTGTAGAGGGAAGCCCGTGCTTGGGAGGGCCAGTTGCAGGGCTTGTCCCACACCAAACTGGGTGAAATATTAGATACACTGGAGGATAGGGCTAGGATTTGGAGAGACCTAGACAAATTGGAGGACTGAACCAAAAGAAATCTTATGAAGTTCAGGACAAGTGCAGAGTCCTGTAATTAGGACAGAGCAATCCCATGCACCAGTAAAGGCTGGGGACTAACTGGCTAAGCAGCAGCTCTGCAGAAAAGGATTTGGGGGGTTCAAGTGGGCAGTAAACTGAATATGTGCCAACAGCATGCCCTTGTTGCCAAGAAGGCTAATAGCATATTGGGTGCATTAGTAGGAGTGTTGCCAGCAAATCAAGGGAAGTGATTCTTCCCCTCTATTCAGCACTGGTGAAGATACAAATGGCGTGTACTGTGTCTAGTTTTGGGACCCCACTTCAGAAAGGATGTGGACAAATTGGAGAGAGTGCAGCATAGGACAACAAAAATAGTTAGGGGGCTGGTGTACATGACTTATGAAAAGAGGCTGAGGGAGCTGAGCTTATTTAGTCTGGAGAATAGTAGGCTGAGGGGGGGATTTAATAGCAGTCTTCAACTACTGGAAGGGGGGTTCCAAAGAGGATGAAGCTAGACTGTTCTCAGTGGTGGCAAAAACAGGACAAGGAACAAAGGTCTCAAGTTGCAACAAGAGAAGTTCAGGTTAGATATTAGGAAAAACTCTCTCACAAGGAGGGTAATAAAGCACTGGAACAGAGAGGTTGTGGTATCTTCATCTTTGCAGGTTTTTAAGAGCCGGTTAGACAAAGCCTTGGGTGGGATGATACATTTTGGGACAGTCCTGCTTTGAGCAGGAGGTTGGACTAGATGACCTCCTGAGGTTCCTTCCAACCCTAATTTTCTATGATTCTATGTCTCCCTAGGTGTGAGGCAGGGGAGTGGCAGGGAATACAGAGATATCTTTCTTTTCTAGAAGCAGTCAATATGGGTTGGAAAGCAAGGTTGGATAGAACAGGAGGGACGGGAGGTTAGGAGGATGTTTTCCTTGACTAGAAGCAGAGAAGTGGGAGGGAGGGAGGTAGTGACTGTTTTTGAACTATGAGGGAGAGTCATTGCTTGTGCCCTTCTTTCAATAGTTTATTCTTGCTTCTACTTTTTTTGTCTTTTACTGTTAGTCATCCTGAGTCCTTTTTGGGACGGTGGCATATATATCTAAGAAACAGAATGGTAGGAGTCAAGAAGGACACTGGGACTGTCTTATGAGTTATGATATTTATATGAGGTCTGTGTAATTTTCATTCCTTGTGATTGGATTGCATTGATGTAGGTGGGCCACATCTCACTACAACTTTAGCAGCTCAGTGTGGTTGGCTCTTATCCCTCTAGTACGAAAAGAATTTGAATGATATAATTAACCATATGCTAAGGTGCATCATGATTGTCTGAAACCATGATTTCACTTTATGAAAGACACTGTGGGTGCATCTATATGAGACATTTACTGTGCAATTAACTAACTGCGCAGTAAACATATTTAAATACATGTACTACCCTGATGCAGAGTTTTTTTTGTGCATGTCAGTGTATATGGAGATACTGCCCTGGCTGGCTGGTGCACAAGGTGCTTCAGTGCAGCGTTAGCCAGTAGGCAGCACCTGGACTGAAGTGTCTTCTGCCCAAGCCAGCCACTCTGCAGCATGTGGAGCCTTGTTGGAGCATCCCTGGGCTGGCAGGCTGACCCCCTGGGTTCTCTGCCCACCTGGGCTGCTCTGAATGGGCTCCACATGCTGCACATGAATAAACTCCAAAGCAGAAAGCTCTGAAGTTTATTTGTGAACATTAATCACATGTGTAGGCGCACCCTGTATGCATTCACATCTCACGCAACTGTCGCCTTTATGTCCTCTATTTTTCTCTTGAAGGGGGATGCAGGAGGTGTGAGTAGATAAACTTATTTTTCTTGAAGAGAAAAATAGAGGACATAAAGGTTGCCCAGTTCTGTATCAACAGAGGACAGAGGACAACGAAACTGTCCTCTATGATGGCCTCCCTAGGAGCAGGGGAGAGGCAGGGTGGGGAAAGCCTGAGCCTGCCCTTATCTGTTTATCTACTCACAGCTCCTGCATCCCCCTTCAAAGCATCTTGCAGCACTCCAAGGTGTCCCTGGTTGAGAATAACTGCACTAGAGCATTTAGAAGGAATGAAGTAGGCAGAAAAGGTACTAGAGTTAAGTTAATTCCTCTGTACTGATTGAGATGGCTAGTGGATGAAAAACGCAGCAAGTCTTCACAATATGTAATGGCAGGCTTCAGCCATATTGAAGTACTAAAGGAACTAAGGGAAGGCTGACACTGAGAAGAATGGCGTTCTGCCTTTCTAAGACTGTAAGCTTTTTGAGGAATTCAGCCTTTTATTATACATTTTTATAATGTTTAGTATACAGGGTAATGATGAGGATGTAGCCTGAGGTCACTACTATGAAATAAATAGTATTAGTCATACTCATGTTAAAAATCCTAATAATGTTAATTAATGACTTTAACAGAACAGTTGGGCTGTTGTGGTCTTGTGAATGTCCAAGAAATGTGCAAGAAGCAAGGTTCTTCTGTTGATATCTTTTATTGGACCATTGATATGGTTGGAAGAGATGTTAGACAAGGTTTGGGCATGACGTGTCCTTCCTCAGGTCTTGCTTCCCTTTAAATAAGTATTATTATTGAATATAATAATATTATCATAACTAGCCTTCTTTTTCTACAATTTGTTTTTGATGTAAACACATGTAGTAAATAAAAATTGCAGTGGATACACTGAACTAGAAGTGTAAACAGTTTTCCGAATGAAAGAAAATTCAAAAAAGTTATTAGGTTACATTTTAAGTAAATAACAGCTCCCCTCCCCCCCGCCTCCCCATTAAATCAATTATAAAAAACTTCACACTTAAATTTTTCCTTCACTGTGTTAAAAAGAAATACAAGGCTATGAAAAACTAATAAGGAACTCAGTTATGCTCTTTCAAGGCCAAGAAAAAGGGGAATAGTAAGTCTCATTTAAATATAAAATCACTCATATTCTGCGCTCAGACAACTGAGGAAGATTAGCCAGTGGACTGGGAGTTTGGCTCAAAAACTCTGACAACCTCATGCAAGAAGCATGTTTTAGCAATACCTGGAATACCATAATATTTTTAAGAGACAAAAAGCAGTCATATCATTTCAGTCAGAGTGAATTTTAGTTCGGTTAAATTTCCAGCACGGAATGAAAAAGTAATATGTTCCCTAGAAAAGAACAATTCATGCTCCCAGTGTTGCAAGGTACACCTGATCTGAATCGAAAATGACAGAGCCCTTCAACAGACAGCAGATTCCTCAAAATGTGAAGGTTAAATATATGTTAAAGAAAGCCATATTGCATAATAATAACTACCTCTTCTCCTCAGTAGATCTGAAAGTAATTTACAAGGGAAGTAGATATAATTATCATTATTTTAACAGATCAGGGAACTGAGCCATGGAAGAACAAAATGATTTGTAGGCCAACATCAGAGCAAATAACAGAGCCCAGATCTCTTAATTTCTAGTCCCGAGCTCCATCCACAAGCAGCCACTGTCTTCTCTTAGTTACAGTGAACTTCTTTCCAACTGGCATATGTAAACATTCATAGTGCTGCCCAAACAGCATAGCTTTAATACTCTGTGTCATAATACATCATTTTAAAATTCTTGTTTAATGAACTTGAACCAGATCTCATTCATCTAGGACACATCAGGTTTGAATGATCATTGTCATGTACGATGGAGTTTAGAGTTTTGTGAACAAACTGAAAAAAAATGGGGAAAAAATCAGTATTGGGTTGAACTGAAACAGAGATTTGATTTGAAATGTTTCGCACAACCCAAAACAAAATTTTGTGTCATTTTTGGGTTTTTAAACTTTGTTTAACCTCTCATCTTTTACTTTATGTTTTTAAATGCTATTTTGAAGGAAAAAGTAAAAATTTAACACTGAAAGTGTCCAACAAAACATTTCAGTACTTCCAAATTTTTTGTAGAGTTTAAAGTTTTTTCCTCATTTTTTTTCTGGCTAAAACTCTCTTGCCCCATTGAAATTTTGCTGCACATAATGCTCATACTATATGTGCACTTATAACTGTTCAAACTTTATAATTTACATTTTGTTTGGCATTTTAAAACAATATCTGTCTAATCCTTTCTTCCCCTCACAGTGCTATAAAATTTTTGGTGCCAATGAAGAAGAAAGGTTGAGCTGGCATTTGGCAAGAAATGCTTGTATAGAATTAAAAGGAAACCTGGCTTCTATACATAATGAACAAGTGCAAGGTACATCTAGATCCCTTCGTGGTAAATAAGGTTTCATCTAGTTTTCTTAAAACAGGGATGGGCAAAATGCAGCTCAGGGGGCGGATGTGGCCCACCAGGCCATTCTATTTGGCCCGCGGGGCCCTAAAAAATTTAGAAAATTAATTAATCTGCCCTGGGCTGCCTGTCATGCAGCCCTCAATGGCTTGCCGAAACTCAGTAAGCAGCCCTCTGCCCAAAATAATTGCCCACCCCTACCTTAAAACAATCATAAACATTAGCTAAACTGCAAAGCTGCAGCTGCTATAATATAGTATGCTGCTTTTGCAAGCAATAGTTAAATATAGGGAATAATGATAATAATATAGGGCAAATGCAGGTATCAAATTTATGCATGAATGGCTAACTCACCTTAACGCATGTCTGGATGTGTTAGGGCACATTAACGCTGTGTGGGCATATCTACACATGCCTCTTTTAAGTGGGCTTAGGCTAAAATTGCTATTTTAAGGTGCATTAAGGGCATGTGTTTACACGTGTATGCCCTTAATGTGCCTTAAAATAGGTGATTTATGGCTATGTGAGCCTAAATTTGACACTTGGATAAAACAGGGGTCATATTTAGGCGCAAATAGCTAAGTTGCATTAGCCCATATGTAGATTTGTAGATGTGCTAATGCATATTAACATGGTGTGCGTCAATGGATACACACCACATTAGCGCATCTGTGTGTGTACTAGTATGACCTAGCTATTTGTGCCTAAATTTAATGGGCCTTAATGTGCATTAGCACATCCACAGGTAAATGCATACCTAAATCGCTTTAATGTGCCTTAAACAAAGGTGCATTTTGTTTAGGCATGCATAAATACACGTGTAGACATGCCCCTTACGTTGACTGACTTGGGATGAACTTCAGTTTTTAGTCCCAAGTCGGTCCACACACCACATTAATGCCTTAGTGAATGCATGTGTAGACAACGCTTAAATCACCTTAATGTGCACTGGGCAAATGCACATTAAGTTTCAGCGCATGTAAAAGCACACGTAGATGCACCCACATTGTTGTTTTCTATGAACAGGTTATAGGGCTGTGGACAGAAATGCATTTGTAGCATTATAATTGCCATAGCATTTTGAAGCACTACAAAAATTTAGCACAAATACTGGAGGAAACAGTACTGTAGCTAGGGCAGTGCCTGTGGTGAGGATTTACTTCAGTCATTGGCTGCAATTACCATAGTTTATGACTCACTAGCCCCTGATAACTTCCTGTACTTCTGCTCCCATTGGAAAAGCCTTGCAGCATGATGAACAAGATCCTAAAGAATGTTGATTATAACTTGTTACTGCATCTTTTTCCTAGGGGTCTATAGGTGGGACTTTTATACTGAGAATCGTCCATTAGTATTTCACTTGAATAAATTTTCCTGTCTCATTAAACTGTACTATATAAATTTCCTTCCATTTCACCATCAGACATGAATCTAAAGTTATAAAATGTAATAGAACGTTTGCAAGATTTTTCTGTTTAGTCCTTGAACTAATTTGTTGTTGTTGTTGCCATAGATTAAATTCTGGACAAGCAAGTGTCCTTATTGTTTGAGGAAAGACAATCCTTCTAAAACCTTTGGCATTTTTCAGCTTTTCTCACCTTACATATAAAGGATACGACTGAAACCTGGATTGGACTGATTGATATAAACACTGAACAGAATTATCTTTGGACAGATGGAAATGTATTTGACTATTCCAAGTGAGCCCAAGGTTTCCCATTTAAAAATGATATCAGCCATTGCTACTGGGACTTTGGGATGTATATTAAACAGGAGGTAAACATAAACAGACCAAATATTGCTAACCAACCATAAGCTAGCTAGCAAATCCAGCTTTATATAAACAGCTCAACTTGTTTCTCATTTGCAGTTTGAATTTAGTATATAGGTAAACTTCAGATCAAAGTAGTACAATACTCTAGGGACATGGTTCAAACTTTTATTATGCCCATGTACTAGCACTTCTGACCGTGTGTGTGTGTGTGTGTGTGTGTGTGTGTGTGTGTATACAGATAGATCGATATGTATGTATGTATATGTGTGTATGTGTATATTTATTTGCAGAAATCCAGGATGATAGCAGAATTTATTGAATTGACAATATCTAGAATTCTTCAATTTTTTTTAGACTTCGCTTTATTACCTCTTCGCCTTGACATGGAATGAATTAAAATAAATAAATAAACCAGTATATTAAATATCGATAGATACATTAAAGATTAGTAATAATCTTGAGTGTGCTCCTGTACACCAAGAATAGCCTGGGAGCATTGTAAAGGATTAACATTTTATTTCCCTGAAATTACATTTAAAAAATAGTTACTCATTCTCCCCTGTTAAATGCTGTTATATTATGTACTAGATTAGAAATTAGAGAATAAAACTGTCTATTGGACCTGATTTTTTGCAAACCACTCTAATTTTCTACCACTCTTTCACTTTTACCTACAATTTCTTGTATCCTTGTTCTGTAGAGTGCCTGCATCACAATGATGAAGAGATCTGTAGAAGAAACAGGATACTGGGGATATGCAGCTTGTCAACATAAGAAAAGCTGTGTATGCCAGATGGACAGCAGTGAGTTCCATTTCACCACCTTCTCAGCTGAAACACATTTATGAACCCATTTGCGTCTTAGACTTCTATGCTTGTGTATACACTGGGTGCATCTACATGTATGCTTTACTGTGGAGTCGACTAATTAGCTCTGGAGTAAAGTGTCATTGTCTACATGTGTGCTGCCATTAGGGCACAGTAAATTAATTAACTCCATCAGGGGCAGTGCTATCTTACAGCAGAATCATTTACTGCACAGAAAGCATGTGTGGATGGTGACCAGGACCACAACAACTTAAGTCAGGTCAGAGCAGCCCTGGGCTGACAACAGGTTTGGGGGGTTCATCCATATGACTCCACACTTTGGGCACTCTTGTGCCCCAGCCAACCCCTCCACCCCAGCGCTGCCACCTGGAGCCTGGGGCCAGAGCCGTCCCTAGGGAGGTGCGGGGCCTGGGGCATATCAGCCTGTGCAGGGCTGAGGGGGTGGGGGTAGCGGCTGCCCACAGAAACCAGTGGCAGTGTTGGTGGGCGGGGGGGAGATGACAAGCGGCTGTAGCCGGTGGAGGGCTCCCCAAAGCGTGGGGCCCAGGGCAGTCACCCTGATTTGCCCCCCTGGGGATGGCCGTGGCGGGGCTGACCCCTGAGCTTGCTGTCAGCCCAGGGAGGCTCTGCCATGGCTCAAACTGCTGAGGTCCTTGGCACATGTGAAGGCACTGTGCCCAGGAGCAGCTGACTCCAGCATGAACTGGGCTGGAGTTTATTGAGGCATACTAATTGCACATGTAGATTTGCCCTCTTTGGCCCTCAAGCAACTGGAATCAGAGAGCTTCAGCTGTCATTTCATCAGCTTGGGTGCCAGATGGAATAGCAATTATGAGCCAAAGAATCATGATAGACCTGCATTTTATGACCTTGAATTAATTTCCCCTTCAGCTCTGCTGTGCTTCCTTAGATTTTACCCAGGAGGAATAGATTTAATCCATTGTGCTGATTGTGTGACAGGAAGGAAGTTTAAATTTTCAATTCAATGAATTCAATTTTCCCATTAACAGGCTGCCACCAACATTTAGAAAAATAATTACTGGTTTTGGATATTTCAGTTTTTGGATTCCAAGGCTGGGAAACCATAAAAGGACCTGACATCCAAACGATTGATGTTTAACACTTTCTGAAAATCAAAACCCTTAATTTGACTAATATACTCAGAAATAACTTTTGAAAATCTTGGCTTGAGAAAAAAGACAGTTTGTTCCTGGATGCTAAACCTTAATAAAAGTTAAAAAGTAGTTACCAGTTTTGCAGTATTGAAATGCTATGTGGTTGTTGTTCACTGGACTTTAACTTTCATGGCATGAACTTCCCTTTATAACTCTTCTACCTGCAGCCTGTATGCCTCAGGTCTGCAGCAGCTTCTGTTAGTCTTGACCCTCTCCTAAGCAAAGATGTCTGTATGCACATAATTTTGTTGCATAATTTTGTATCTACTTAATTCATAAAATCAAAACAAAAATGTTGTCATAGGTACTTTGGTGAATATCTGGACAATCCAGAAGTGACTTCGACTGTGCAGGTTATAACTAAACCATGCCTTAAAATTAAAAAATAAACAAAAGCATTTTTGTGGATTATATTATTGGCATTAAAAATAGTTGCATAGCCCATCTTATGTAGCAAGTGCTACATAAATATAATTGGTATCATTTGGGGAATTGAAAAGTCATGATGCAGATTCCCTTGTAGATCTTCAGGTTAGGAAATAGCTGTGGAACAGATGCATCCGGAACATTATAGAGCCTGCAGGAAGAAGTGAGGGGAAATGGTGGCTTCCATTTCAGAGCAGATTGGGTATCACAGCTGGCCACATCCTTTCCTCCAAACAAGGACATAAGGCTGCCAGAGTAGTTGGGGATTTCATTTGACTGGCAAAGAGCGATCTGCCGGTGTTGGGTGACCACAAAGGCAGTTTCAGTCAAATTTTGCCCTAGTCCTTTGGGGTTACATATTTAGCTCAAGTGAACCAGACCTGAGGATCCTGCTTCTGCGTATGGAGCACCAACAGGAGAATGCTGGTTTAGTTTTCTATATATACCTTGGAAAGGGAAGAAGAACAGTTGCTTTGTTTGTCTGTTTGTTTCTTTCTGTAGGATTAAGTTCACCCTTGCTTACTTCTTTTGGAGGACCTAAGTGATATGTAGTTATTATGCTGGACTTAAATACATGACCTCCTGTCACAGCTGGTTAGGAAGAAATCCATTCTGTACTAGATATCTGGTTCGCTTTCACTTGTAACCTGATCTGTATGTGTTCCCGTGTCTAGGTTTTAACAGTGAACATACCCCACTATCTTCCCCTTCTGCCAAAGACATTGCATTGCTTACATTTACTATCCATTTGAAGTCATCTTTAAAATATCTGTTTAACCTGGTTTTTAAATGAAGAATGGGGTTTTTTTGTCTTACTGATTGTGATACTGATTTTGCAATAGAGTCGATCCCAGATACTTCTCAAGATTAGGTACCTAAACCCCACCCTCACCTCCAGAACAGCAGGGAACAGCTGCATGAGGTGCTCCAGCTGTTTGCTGCATCTTTTGTTTCATAGGGTGCTTCTTCTCCAGTTACTGGCAGGGAATACTGATCAGCTGCAGCTGAGCTGAGAAGGGTACCCTTTGGAGTAAAACCTGCAGTCAACAGTTGAGTAGCTGGTCCTTAATTTGGGACCTTGTTTTGCATTAAATTGGTTGTGGATCACACAGATATAAAGGACTTGGGTTCTGTTGTAATGCATATATTTGTTGCTCAGTGGTACCACATCTTTCTTTCTTTTTTCTTTCTTTACAACAGATCCTGAATTATTTTATTCCCCAAAAGTTCCAGTTTCTGACTTGATTCATTATGATAATAGTACCTATTCAGTCATTCATTCCAGAACAAATTGGGGAGAGGCACAAAAAAACTGCAGGGAGCAATCTGCATAATTTGCCAGTGTTGTAGATCTCTACAGTGCTCTGTTTCTGCGGATACAGATTTTGCAGTTTGGGAAGCCTGTATGGATTGGTCTCAACAACAATGTGGTAAGCACAGCAAAGAGGAGTTGGGTATTATGATACTGTTCTAAATAGCACTCTAACTTTCCTTTAACTTTTGCTGCATGCTTTTTATAGGGCTGCCAGAGATACACTCCAGGGCTGGTCTGAAACTGAGCATTGAGTGTGCAGGAAATCTTCATATTAGACCATGTCTTTACTGCTGTTGCCAGGAGTGATTATATCACCCAAGCTACCATACAAGTTACTACACAAGCAGTTAGCTCAGGTAACAAAGCAGAGTATGTGTGGCAGCATCAGTGTCAGATACCCAGGAAAGTACCCAGGTTTCTTGGAAAGCTAATAGAGCCTACAATGATGCCTGTGCCCCACAATCTATGCAGCATTTTTACATGAGCTAACTAGAATAAAGGTAGTTTGGGATTACTGGTGCAGTCAGACCTCAGGCGCAGACCGATGTTAGGGCCTAGTTCTAACTCATTGCAGTTCACATGAAGCTCTGTGAGTTAAAGCATGCCTCCCCGCAACCAAACCCAAGAGACTGTTGGGTGGGAGGGGCAAGTGGGGGAGCTGGAGCCAGCCTGCACCAGTCCAGGTCAGCTCCAGGGCTGGCAGCAAGGGAGCTCCCAGCTGCTAAATGGCCAGAGCTGGTGGGGAGGGCAGAGAACAGGGCCCCCTTGCCTCATGGCCTCACCCTAGCTACCCCAGCTGGGGCACTGGGGCCAGGTGGGGTAGGGCAGTGGAGTGAGGAGCTTCCATTCTCACCCCCCAGCTCTGGCCTTTACAGCAACTGATAGCCCTGTGCTGGCTGCCCCCGGCTGCTGAGTGGCCAGAATGAGGGGCAGGGGGACAGGAACAGATCCTGCTCACCTCACGGGCCCCAACCCAGCTCCCCCCAATATCCCAGCTGGGCTAGCTGGGGCAGGGGTATAGCGAAAATAGTTACTTTTCTCTATGTTTCTTTGTTCCTTGTTTTAGTATTAACCCCTGCATTCTGTAACTTTCCACCCACATGGTACAGGATGGCCCACTACGTATGTCTTATAGGTTGCTCAGGTTTTGGTTTGAAATGACCAATCAAAATGTAACACGTCAACTGAAAAAAATGCTAGCTCAATAAAAGCCACGTGCGCTCTTTGTTTAGGGTCGACACTGATCTGAGCAACAAGCTCCTCTGTCGGCCTGCTTGCAAGCAATAAAATAGAGTTGGACCCAGCCTGAAAGTGTGACTCTCTTCTAGAGGTGAATTGGACTAGCCTCCAGGGGATAAAATCAGCAATTTATGCAACAGGGGCATGAGGCAAGAGGGTCCTGTTCCCCACCCTCTTCCTCCCAGCTCTGGCCATTCAGCAGCCAGCAGCTCCCTTCCCTTCTCCCTGACAGCCCAAGAGGGTAGGGCTACCCACCAGCCCAGCCCTGCCCCCCACACAATAAAATCCTGGAGGCAACACAAATTTCCTAAGGGGCTCTGTTTTTGAGTGCCTTAATGTAATGCCTGATTTAGCCAGGGTTAACTTTTCACACAATTGGCAATTTTAAAAGCAATCTGCAGCCATCCATGTGCATTAAGTCACATCTGTAAAATGTTTCAGGGGCCCCGCTGCTCAAAAACTGTCACTTCTGTCTGTACCACATGACTAGAGAGTGTTAGATAGAGGCTCAGAGGCTTCCTTGGATGCCCCTCAGATCACCTTCCCCCACGCAATCTGCTGCTCTTCTTTCTGCTTCCTGCCATGCTCCCTGCCTGATCTGCAGTTTTGCTTTCTGCTCCCTGTCATGTGCTTCCTAACCAATCTGCTTTGTTTTCTGTTCCCTGTCCTATCTGCCACTGTGCTGCCTGTCCCCTCCCAGATCTGCTGCATGCCACACACAGAGGCTGCCCATGCCACTTGTGGCACCTGTGCCACAGGTTGGCCATCTTTGCCTTGGATTCAGTAGGTCATCAGCTATGTTCACACAGGATTAAAAAAAAAAGATTTTTTTCTTCTGTAGCCCGCACAAGTACATTTATCCTGCTGAGATGGGGTATGCTTGAATAGTTATTTGCCTTTACAAGGGCTATTGTGTTCCATACCCTGACAAAGTCTACCTTCTTCATTGAAAGCCTCCAGCTTGATTCAATTAACCATAGGCTTCAAATCTGAGCCTCTAGGGCCACATCAATGCTATATTGCCTAGGCCTTTTCCTTAATTGCTTCATCTGTCTTTGTCATCTTTATAAATTCTGTCTCTTAAAAACTTTTCCTTTTGGTCCAGCCTGAGCTCCATAGACCTGTTACCCTGCCAGAGGTCCATGCCACAGGTGGTTGTAGTGAAATTCACCAGCCCCACTCCATGCACTCCGGACCCTGAAACAGGTGTAATGTAGTAGCATTAGTACATCAGTAGATATCACCATAGATACTCCTGGGACAGCAAGCTTGTTAACATGCACCTGGCACCACAACAAAGAAACTTCAGTAGATCTGTCTTGGGGTATACCATGTACAGAACAGGCCTGGCAAAGCTCGCTGTGGCACTCCCTAATTTGGTATTCCTGTGGTCTAGATGTGGTCCGTGTTTTCCTCACTGTCATACTGGAGAGTTCTTTCCCTTCAGATTTCATTACTAATCCCTCCAGGTTTTCCCACACAGCTTTTCTGGGCCAGAGTTCCCAAGCTATTCTTGGCTGCTAGCCACCCAGTAGATCCTATTTTTATCTGCCTTCTTAGTAAGCCATATATTTTTTATACAGCCCGTGTTTAGAAATCATATGGCATCTCGGGAGGAACTACCTCTTCCAATACACTCTTCCTTAAGAGGCTGAGCTTCAGTAACACCAGGGCAGCAACAACTTTCCTTTATGAGACCTTCAAAATCTGAATGTAAAGGGCAGTGATTCTCAACCAGGGTGTTGTGTCACTATGGGATGGTGTATGATCCTTTTAAGGGTGCCGCGAGGTGCAAACATTTATACATGATCCACGAGGTAAACCAAGATTTTTCAAATAGGAATCCATAATATCACAAACATTCTAACCCATTGTGGTCTTTCTCTTTGCATCAGAGTTGTTCTATTACTTTTCCATAGTAAAAAAACTAGGGAAAGCTGGCATTTTCTGAGTTGGCATTGAGTCTGAGAAGGTTGAGAGCCACTAGTATAGGGCATGTTATTCTTATTACCTGCAGGCTGTTCAGTGTTAATTTGAATATTGTTATGTTAATTGCAATTAAGTTTGGTTTGCTTTTAGACTGATGGTTATTACAAATGGACTGATAACAGGAGACACAAGTATGCTAAATGGGCCCATGGAGAACCAAAAGCAAGCATAGCCTGTGTTTATTTAGACCTTGATGGAGCTTGGAAGACAGCATCCTGTGATAAAAAGTATTTCTCGGTCTGTAAATGGTCTGATGGTAAGCAGCCAAATGGAATAATTTTGGTTTTGTGACATGGAGCTTGAGTAACTGCGCTAGAGGCTGAATTTGGTTATACTACAGTATATGAATAACTAATATATATTAGCAGACAACCTGTCTTCAAAATGCATTTTTCGTTCACAGTGGATTCATTCAAAGTACTGATATAGCATTGATATAGATCCCAGTTAACTTTTGGGACTCAAAGTTCTCCCTTAAAGCAAAATGTAAAATGTGGTTTATGGAAATGTTTCACAGTTCTTTAGGAGTCTGCTTATCAAATTAAATGAATACATTAGAGTTTTTGGAAGTGGCTTTCATCAATGAATGTCTATTCTGTTCCTTCAAAGTAAGCAACATGAACCCAATAAGGTGATGAGTTACTAGCCAATACGGACAATGGTTGGAGGGCAACATGAACACTTAGACCTGGTAATTCTTGTTAGCCATGGTTTCTGGTGATTGTTGGCTAGTGGGCTGTGAGACATGCATTGGCATAATCAGAAAGATTGAACTTTGTAGTGATTCTGCAGACTGCATATATGAATTTCACAAAGCACTTATAAACAGTCTTTGAGAGAAAACCCAGCCTCCCCTGCTTTATCACTTGACTTACAATAGAGTCCTTTTAACTGTAGCAGTATGGAGGTTTAAAACCCTGGAGAACTTGGTACTTTTGTTTTAAAGATCCTTTTGGTGGTGCATATTCCAGCTCATATGTTTTTGCATCCTGAAAATTTCACTCTGATTTTCAGTTTTACTATATACTCTTAAACTTAGCCAAAACAACCATATTGTGCTTTGTTTCATGTGCATACCAGAATATTCTATATGGCTTCCAATATTAACTTATTACAACCATTATTTTGATTAAGAAAGTGTGATGTACGGCTACATATGTTCAAGATATGCACAGTTCTACTTATTACCTCCTATGGGTATCAATTAGGGGTTTGTGAAATGGGCCGTATTCAATTCAGATTTGGATTCAGCCCAAATCGGGAACAGTGATTTGATTTCTTTATTTGAATCACTGTCCCAATTCGATTTGGCTGAATCCGAATCTATAGATTTGATGCTGATTTGGAGAATCAGTGATTCTGCCATAGACACAGCTTTATATGTTTTTTCTACCTACCTTAAAGTAGCCGGCACGGCTCATGAATGCTGTGATGGTGGGGCAGATGGAGTATCCCAAAGGGAAGGGGGGAAGTGGGGTCCACATGCTTGGCAGTGAACCCAGAAGTGGATCAGAAGTACTTCCAGTGCACTTCCGGGTCCGCTGCTGAGCGTGCTGGGAACCCCCTGCCGCCCCCCGTGCTTCTGTGGGACACTCCATCTGCCCCACCATCTCAGCATTCATGAGCCATCTGGTACCTTGAGGTATGTAGAAAAAGCATTTAAAGCTGTATCTATGTCTGAATCATCAAATCTCTCTGAATCAATTCAGAAGGTTCCAATTTGATTCAAAGAGATTAAAGGGTCCCCTGATTTAATTTGGATTTGGAGATTCGGCCACCGAATTGAGCTGAATCTCTGTCAAATCAAATCAGCAACTGAAGCTTTGCACAGTCTTAGTATCAATCATATAAACGTTAGCAGGTCAGATATTGGATATGTTTGGTTGCTCTAATGTGTATGATCTGATAAGTCTGGCACAGCTAGAGTGTGCTACACCCCATTCTTTCCTCCTTCTCACCTCTACCCACCCTCTAGAGCAGGTGGTGTAAGGAAATATTGTATTACCAAATGATAATACAGGCGAGCTGTTAGGAAGGCCAAGGCGGACATGGAGCTCGG